GCAGCTAGAGCCCATCATCATCCTCATCTGGTTGTAACTAGGCAATCTACTATATTATTCGTGGCACTAATCTCTAATTTACCTCACATTAAAGGGACACTATAGTCCCCAGAACCACTGCAGCTTAATGTAGTGGTTCTGGTGTCTATAGCTTGTCCCTGCAGGCCTTTTAATGTAAACACGGCGGCACTGCAGCACTGGTGTTAGTTAACATGGCAGATCATATGGGTGGGGCATTGTGATGTCACATGGGGGGCGGCAAACTTTACTTTTGCCTAGGGCGGCAAAATCCTTGCACCGGGCCCTGGCTGGAGGGGGCTGTGTGAGCTGTGGCCGCACAGTGTCCCATGGTAGTTAGGGTGCCGTGCGGCCAGTACAGCTCACACAAGCAAACAGCTGATAAACTGGCCGCACGGAGGAAATGTGTATGTGTGACCGTCTGCCTGTGACTGAATGTGACTGTCTGCCTGTAACTGAGTGTGTGACTGTCTGCCTGTAAATGTGTGTGTGGGGCTGCAGGGATTTTGTAGAAGGGGGCGGGGTTTTGTATTGGGACAGGAGTCTTTATAAGGGGGGATAAGCAGGGGATTTGTGGAAGGGGTTGCGGGGGTTTTGTAGACGGGGCAGTACAGGATTTGTAGAAGGGGCAGGACAGAGGTTTTGTAGGAGGGGCGGGGCAGGACAAGGGTTTTGTAGGAGGGGCTGACAGTGGTTTTGCAAAGTTTACAAATTGTAAAAAAAAAAGAAAGAAAACCTTTAACATTTTTTACAGGTTTTTTTTTTTTTGGGTGGGGGTGGGGGGTGCCAAGCACAGGATCCGCCCCGGGTGCCAAATGCTCTAGGTACGCCCCTGCTTTTAGGGGTGGGGAAGAAGGGAACTCTTTAGAATTCCGACATGTATATCTGTGTAGACCTACAATGGAAACATTGCCTTATCTACTCAGCAGTAATATTTTCCATTGCATGGTTTAAAGGACCTGGACACTGCTCCCAGACCAGTCTATTAAGATGAAATGGTCTGCGTGCCTATAGTGTCCCTTGAGAAACAGTGGTATTGTTTGAAAAAGGCACCATCAATACAGAAAGAGTATAACATGTTAATGATTAAATATAAAGCAAAACTTTTTTTTCTTTTTACATTCTTTATTTGTAGTTTACCAATTTTACCTAATATTATACAACTTAAAAGTACAAATCAAAGCATAAAGATAAAGGTCAGGTAATATCTGTACTCGGTATAATTCTCATTTTTCTAAGCTCTAAAATTTTAATTTTCTCTACATGACTCATACACATTGTTTCTTCCATCCTTTTGTCTTATTCTATCTCTCGCTGTTCTGCCCTACAACCCGCTCCATTTTCCATCTACATTTCCTGTCTCTGCTGACAGGGGAAGTCCTGTCAAAGCACCCTTTGTCGATAAGTCACTGGTCTCTTTGCGGTCATAGATATCACACCTTGCAAAGGAGAGTTATTACTTTGTGTGGGGAGGCAGATACAGGACCTGGTTTCAGAACTGAAATTGTGACTTTCTTCCTCCGAATTATTTCCCTTATACTGACTTCTGATTTCTCGCCAATTTGTTCATTTACACATATAATCAAATAGAACTCAGAACTGTGAGTGATTCAAATATATATTTGTGACAGCGGGATTACAGTATATAGCCCACCTATGTTGAGAATATATTTATTTACCTAGTAGCTGTAACTATACACAGTTATGCATGTCTGTGTGTGTCTGTCTCTGTGTGTGTATAACGTCATATACAGTAGTGTACACAGAATATGTGTTACAGGTCTTCCATATGACCACCGAATTTAGGGTTGAAGATACTTAGAATTAATCACTGCTACAAATTTCTATGTACTTTTTTCAGACTATGAGAGTTTAGGGTGGTGTCGAGGCATGGCGTATCATTCAATTCTTTCTATATTCTGCCTGCCATCTAATACCAGAGCAAAGTTTCCGCTGACACTTCCTTTGACAACGAGTTCACATTCATACTTATTCACTAACCTGTGAATTGTATAGAATTGACCAGGTAACTGCAAAAATGTAGTCTAAAGTAGCTAAACTGGATATATTTTCCCGTAGATATATTTTTTACCAGAATATATAAATACATATTTTCACAGATTTCTTATTTTTGGAAATAAATTTCAAAATATTCAAAAGTAACATATCCCTTATGTCTGACCGTGTCACTCTGACAACCCAGGATTTAAGTCCAGCATTAAAATATACCTTGATACCAACAAGCAACAATTCTATAGAAAAAACAGCATAAGACAAAACCAAATTCTGCCGAAATGGCAACCTACTGAACAGGGAACGTAGTAAAGTTGCTGGTGAACTAAGCAGCACTGAGGTCTACAAAATACACATGTAGACAGAATTTGTAGTTGAATTTACACATGGTGTTGCTGTAGCAGATACAGCACATATCTAAATTCTAAACAGTTATATACAACATCCAAAGATGCTAAGTAGTACCAAAAAAGTTTCCTGACGCTGGTTTTAAGTCCATGAAAAACTTTCTTCAGGCGAACGAAATGCGTACAACTTTTTCTTCCTGTTATAATTTTACATTTTATACTGTCCTATGTACTTTCATCCATGGGGAACCATGTCCGTTTCTTAAGAGCACAAGAAAGTAGCATTTTGATGCTTTCGTGCAGAGGAGGATGAGATTTTTACCACTGCATATCTGTTATATGTTTTTCTTTTTAATTATTGGTTGTTAGTGCATCCTTGCAATACATTTTTTGCAATATGTAACAGAATTACAGTTTTCTTGTTGTTTGTTTCTCTGCTTGAGTTTTAAATCCTGATGTTACATAGAAACATACAATGTGACGGCAGATAAGAACCATTCGGCCCATCTAGTCTGCCAAATTTTCTATATACTTTAATTTGTCCTTGGCCTTATCTTATAGTTAGGATAACCTTATGCCTATCCCACACAATATGTTTATCCAGTTATGTAAATTGTTCTTGGAGAGAAGATGCCCAAGGAAAAGAGCCATATGTCAATGCTTATATAATTACTTCTGTGAGTTCGAGATAGTGTTGGACTGGCCAAGTTGATATATATGTTGCTATAGGCATCGCAGGTGGGATCTTTGAGGGCTGACAACCCAGATGTGGATCTCTTTAGTCCAGGATCTCTACAGTTGATGCTGGGGGCTAGATGATATTAGTGTTTTTTTATTTTTTTTATTTAATCAGTAGAATAGAGCTCCACCATTACACTTAAGGTGGGGTGGTACCCAACAAGTGACTGCTCTACACCGTTCTATTAGTTGGGTAGTATGGTTGGATCATTTTTAATACCTGGCTATGCTGAGATCCTAGTGAGTTCATGAGTAGAGAGGAGAGGATGTAACTGATATCTCTGTTTGTGAAGGGGTCAACGGGTTATCTTTTGGGCTTAAGCCCTAGATGTGTCTGGAATTTAGCAGTGCCCCTGAATATTGCCAGTATTTTGCACATTCTTTTTTTGTGTTTGTCAAACAACATCCTTTGGTCCAGGCTGCAAAGTGTGAACAAGTTGTTGCACTGCCTCATCCAGGTGCATAATTGTGTGCACTGATGTATGTTTGCATTAGTGTGCAGTCACTGAGTATGTAATATGTAACCATATTTATTGAAACTCAAATACAGCATGCCTAGCCTACCTGTTTTGTCAAAGTCTTGCGTGCTGCAGCCAATATTATCAATTACAGCGTATTACCCATGAACACCACGGGCTGCACTCAAGGGAGGGATGTTTATAATGGTGTCTCCCACATGGCAGAGTCCGGGCTGTGAAAAACAAAACCTAAAAAGGACAGTTAACACTTTTGTTACTAGAAAGTACAAGCAGAATTATGTTGTGATGTAATGATGTTCAGACTCCTTCAAAACCAGCTCTTGAAGAAATGTGTGTTGTTAAACATTATAACAGTTGTAGGTGACTCAGAAATTTCTTCCCCCCCCCAAAAAACTAGATGCCCTTATATGTACTAAGAAGTCATACATCCTCTTTCAGCTGTTCCATGCCATGTGTTTAGTCTAGCACTGAATATGTACAGGAGTAAACTAACATGCAGTCTGTGATTGGCAAATTTATACCACATTTGATCATTTTTGTTTTTTACTAGTCAATCACACCCATGGGCAACAATGTGTCTGGTAGACTGCACTCAAGGATAAGTAATCTCTTGTCATATCACCCTCATTGAATGAAAGGTGTATACAATCAGTCATTGTTGGAAGTGCACTGGCCACACTGGACTGTTGTTTTGCAGTGTCACATTCCTCTTCAACTTCCTTATCACTTGTTATTTCCACATCTTCATAAAGCTGGTCAGGCATTGCTTTACCAACTTGTTCTTTATTTAATTCTTCTTGGTTTACCGTACATGATGGCAGAATTGCGTTTGTAGATACTTCAAAAGTTCTATTTTGAATACCAAGGCCAACAGACATGGGGTCGCTGAGGTAGTCAGCATGGAAGAGGGGAGTATCCTCACTTGCACCTGGTGAGGGTAAATTGATATTCTGAAGCACTGATGGAATGCTTCTCTGGTCCAAGCAACCATACGAAAAGGAAGCAGAGGAGTCATTTGCTTCTTTTGTGTTGGGGAACTGGAAAAAGAAGTATCCTTGGTTGGAGAAGCTAGAAAATGAATTTCCACTGCGATCTGTGGGAATATCATGGAGTCCGGGAGGAACGAATTTAGGTATGCATTTTTCCTTATTCCAGTTGATATCCACGGGGGATAAGTCAGGAGGAGTAGGGTCTGGAGAAAAGGCAGAGATGCCAAAGGGGGATATCCATTTCTAGAATTACATAACGAGGAAGACTCCATCACTTACTGCCAAACATAACAGCTTATTACATATTACAAGTACTGAAATAAATAAATACCGCATATATATATATATACATATATATATATATATATATATAGTGAGAGAGACAGAGATGTGTATACCGTATAGGTGGGGGTTTCAGATTTCTTCTTTAAAGTTTTACCTTAAAGTCTCCCTTGTGAGTAGATATTAATGGGTCAAAAAATCTTGATGGATCTGGAACACCAACCCAGAATATCTTCTTAACCCTGGCAAAGAAAGAGAACACATATTCTAGAGTAATGGTTGAATAGTAATGGTTGAATGAAGAGATGTTGATGAAGATGTTGGGCAAAGTGACGGAGTGAGCAAAATATTTTATAATGGATATAGAATCAGTGTGAAGCAGGAATATGTGAATTGAAGTGCATATGAGGATTAGGAGGAAATAGTACATTTGATTCTGTCTATTGGAAAAATCTCTATAGTTAAAATGTTTAAAAAAAAACAAAAGTTTACAAAACCTTAGATCATGAGCTCCTTAAAATATAAAAACATATCACACAGAGAGAAAAAGAGAGCAGAATACACAGAAAGGAAAAAAGGGGAAAGTAACAGGATTATTCGCTAAAGTGAGAATTCAAAATGAATTCCAAATTTAAAGTCAAAATAGCAGAACTGGGAAAATTCTATCAGCTATGCTTTCAGTTCGACTAGCCTGGCTTTAAATTTAAAAATTCACTTTTAATTCCTCTTACTTTAGTAAATCACCCATTTCTTTGTGTGACAGAACTGTAAAATTGAGTGGTGCGCTGTGTGTGTGATGGGTGTGCTCTGTGTGTTAGGGGTGCGCTGTGTGTGCACCCCTCATATACACTCAGCGCACCCTTAACACACATAGTGCACTCTTTGCATACTTATGGAGCACCACTCACATACACGCACAGCACACCCCTCACATACACACAGCACCTCTCACACACACATAGCACCTCTCAAACACACAGCAACCCTCACAGACACTCACAGCACCCCTCACATACACACAGAGCACCTCTCACACACATATTGCACCCTTTACATACACACATTGCATCCCTCATATACACACAGAGAGCCACTTACTCACAATGAGTGTATGTGAAGGTTACAATATGTGTGAGAGGTGCTGTGTGTGTGTGTGAGGCGTGCTGTGTGTATATGCGAGGCGTATTGGACCTTTCTTATTTTAATTTAAAATACATTTTAAAAAAAGCTTCATGTCCCCCCTCTGCACCCCCCACCCTTCTTCTTACCTTTGGACACTGCCAGCCCTGGTGGTTCAGTGGTGGTGAGTAGTGATGAGTAGGCCCTTCGTTAGTGAGAGTTAGGACCTGGGAGGCAGTTCTTCCTCCCATGAGCATGCTGGTCAGAGCGTTGCAGCAGCGTCTTTACTCAGAGCAGAATGCTGTGTCGGAGCATTGCTGTGCGGGTGGAGGAACTGCCTCCCAGATCATAGATCTCACTAATGAAGGGCCTTTGGAATGGTGAGGGAGATCACTGATCTCCCCACCAGCCCGAGAGGGCCCAAAGCAAGTGAGCAGGGTCGGTTCTACGTGGGCTGGCAGGGGAGATCAAAGGATTTCCCCTGTCGGCCAAAGCATATGGGCAACGCTGTGATGTGCCTATACTTTGGGTCCCCTGGGCAAGTGCCCAGCATGCCCATTTGGAAAGATGGTCCTGGTTACACATACCTACAGATACACACACTGTTACAGGTATGCAAACCATATTACACATAAGCACAGATGCACACAAATAGTTAAACATAGACACATATTGTGGCCCCCAGTCTTTGACAGCATTTCCATGGTCATCCACTGTACTGCTCTGCCCCTCTGCCAGATGCAGGCAATGTGGTTTTCTCTCTTAAGCTCCAGTAATTGCTCTAAACAGCCAGAGCCCACAGCAGCCATGTCGGTGGTCTGCTCTCTGTATAGGTACTCCTCCTCCCTCATTTTTTGTCCAATTTGTCATTCATTACCATTAGCCCTGATATCTTTGCTTTGGCAATAGAATAAATAAATGGCAATATTTAGACCCAGTGCTCTTAGTGGGCCCACTCAGGCCCTCTAGAACAGGAGATACGTAGAACTGGAGATATGTAGAACTGGAGTTATGTAGAACTGGAGTTATGTAGAACTGGAGGTATGTAAAACTGGAGATATGTAGAACGGGAAATATATAGAACTGGAGTTATGTGGAACTGGAGTTATGTGTGCTTTTCACAAATATTTTCTTTTCAGTGTAATGTTGGTTGCATTTAAGGAGGTACAATGTAAAACAACATAATGTTATGTCTCTTTGGTGACCCAAAGTAATGTGATGTATTCTGATGAAACTCATGCAAGGTTATATACTAAAGCTAGAATTCCCAGGAATTTAAGCAGAATTTTAAATTTAAGGTCAAAAGTAGCTGACCTGGATGCATGGCTGACAGGGATAATGTTTTGGACTTGAATTAAAATTCACTTTGACTTCACTTTAAATTTCTAACAATTCTCACTTTAGAAAAAAACCCTACAATGGTTTATTCACCAAATTAAAGACTGAAATAGTGTATTGAAATCAGAATGGTAAAATTCAGCCAAGATTTTGCAATTTAGAATTTTCGATTAGAAAGAATTATTAAGGAATATATATCAACACTACCTTAAGGAATGTGAGGCTCTGTGCCTAGCGGTGAAGGTAAGTTTGTGAATGTGTGGACAGTAACTTCAGACTAGTCTATAAAATATATTCATGTTATATACAATTGTGAGACTGGACCTGACATTTTATAGGGTGGTTCTTTGTGTCACAGTTCTCACCTTGACATCCAGATGGCCAGACGTGGTCCTAGTTTGTCTGCAGCACTGGGGGCGGCACTTCGTCTATGGCTGTGCTTCACATGAGATTGATCAGTCATCAGCAGGGTATATAAGCACTGCCTCGCCCTGGGGACATTATCAAGTCTTTGATCCTGTTGTGTGTGTTCCTGTGTTCCAGTCTCTTAAACTTAAGCTCTATATTGACCTCTGATCTGATCTTTGGCATCCCTTGATTTTGGCTACACTTTGTTATCCTGACCTTTGGCATCCTTTGACTTCGGCTATCCCTTGACTATCCTGCTGTTTGTATCCTTGTCAGTACTGCATTGGAATCACCTTTCCTGTACAACCCCTGTGCACAGATTCACAGGCCAGGTGGCTTCTTATCTGGTCACCTTGGACTGTGTCTATTTGCAAAGGTGCGCAAACATATCTGCGCTATAGACTCCCATCTCAGGTAAGAACCCTGACACTTTGCTAATCAAGTTTTAATAAGGATTGTGAAGTATTTCCCATCAAGTACAGGGTTGTAATTTAAAAATAAACATAGCCTTGTATTTGTAGCCATACAAGATCCCGCTTAGGTTATTCTAGCAGTCTTGCTTTATGGTATTTACAATATTACCAAAATTCTGCTTCCCCTCTAGATCACCAAGGTCTTCTGTTCTAGAGCAAAACACCCCAGTTGCAGATAAGTAAGGATGGGGGATGGACCTCGTTAACATTCATGCACAAAGCCTCCTTCAATACTGCTACCCCACAGAGAGATTTACTTGAAAAGGACCAGAAAAGTGATTATGGTAGAGATAAAGAAAATCAGGGGCCGAATAGAAAATTAGTTTGCGAAAACTCACCTGTCTGACGAGCGCACAATTAGTGGTATCATGATGCATAAAACCACAATAGCAGTACATGGTGCGACTATCTCTGTAATGTTTTGGGAGGAAGACTCTGCAGAATCTGTAAGTAGAACCCAATGTATCAAGTAAGTGTATGTATCAGTAATACCCAACACATTCCACAACACCACTGTCTGAAAATAAAGCACAGTTTACTTACATATAAACATATGTACATTGACTAGCATATATTCTATTCACATATGTAAGACTTGCTTTATGTATTTATAGCTGCAAGTTGTCTGTATTTTGAAGAAAGTATGTAATGAGGGATGCAGGGAGAAACAAGAGGAAAATATATTTTATTTGAAACTAAAGCTTTGTTGTAAATGGCTGCGTGGTGTTCACTGCCTGTCAGAATACAGCGGGAATTTATAACATGGTCACTAGAAATGCATGGAAATGAACTATTAGTAGTCTCCTGTCTCCAATAAATTGCAGCTTTCTTGGAAGAGTGATTCTCCTATTGGAGCTGAGGAAATCCAGTTAACCACTGTTACTTTTGGACAGTCCTCTCTGTCAGATGTAGCCAGGTTTAAAGGTGAAATCATCAGCAAATGTAAAGGGGAAAAAAATAAACTGCATTTACCAGACAAACCCTTCCTTCTCCTGCAACGTGGAGTTCTCTAAAGCAGTGCTACTCAACCCTCTCCTCAAGGCACACCAAACAGTCCAGGATTTAGGGATTACCTGGGTTTTTCTAAGGTGCTTAAAAAAACAAAACAACCCCTCCCCCCCCCAAACAAAAACCCCTCAGACTCTAATCCTGAATGTTAGGTGTGCATTGAGGGCTGGACTGGCCTACCGGGATACTGGGAAATGTAATAATATCGCGGCCGCCAGCTGCATATCGGTGCCACCGGGTGGCTGGTCTGACGGCACACTCTGAGGTGATTACTCACCTTGCGGCCGGCGGCCCCATCTCCTGTGCTGACAGTGGTACTGCTGTCAGTATCAGTGAGTGTGCCAGGGTGGCCGCCTAAGCAATCCGTCGGCACACTCATTGATACTGACAGCAGTACCACTGTCAGCACAGGAGATGGGGCCACCGGCCGCAAGGTGAGTAATCACCTCAAAGTGTGCCGTCAGAGTGTGCCGCCGTATCAGAGTGTGATACTGACAGCCGTGCACATGGGATGGGGGTACAAAGAGAGACACATGGGATGGGGGTACAAAGAGACAGAGGGGTAAGAGAGAGACACAGGGAGGAGATGGGGAAGAGAGACACAGGGAGGAGAGGGGGAAGAGAGACACAGGGAGGAGATGAGAGAAAGAGACACGCAGCAGGTTTGTTGGGGGGACAAAGAGACATACAGTAGGGAAGGGGAACAAAGTGACACAAGATTTGTGGGAGGCAACGCTGGGCTGGGGAAAAAGAGACAGAGAGTGGCTGGGAGACGAAAAAAAGGCACACAGAGTCTGGAGTTAGAAAGAGACACAGATGAGATTTGGAAGGGGAAAAAGAGACAAAGTGGCTGGGGCTAAGAACAACACAAAAGGGGCTGGGGGAAAGAGAAATGCAGAGGCTGGAGAAGGGTAAAAAGAAACACACAGGGACTGGGATGAAGTAAAAGATGCACAAGGGTCGCTGTAAGAGAAAAAAAAGGAGACAATTTGAGACAAGATACACTAAACGAGGTAAAGGTAATAGACGTAAATTGATGTGATCCTGACAGTAATACACACACACACATATATATATGCATGTAATGAGCACGTATTGGCCCAGTCTTGTTGCTAGTTGTATACTCATGCACAATAACATATTCAAAGTGAAGAGCGCACCCATAGAACTTCAAAATAAACAAGATTACTTCATTTTTTTTAGTGGTGCAACTGCAGACATTCAGCATTTCAGTACCATTACTAACATGTCCTTAATAGGCCAAAGTAGTTGTACTGAAACATTGATTACATGCAAATGTACGTCTACTTAAAATAAAGGTGCTCTTTTGTTTATTTTGAAGCCATATATGCGTTCTTTCGTTGGAGTAAGAGTTTTCAATTTCAAGTTATTTTTTCACCCTCTTTATCAGAACACTATGCTGGCACGACGCATTATTGGGCTGGTATAGAATTTTTTTCCAGGGCTGCTTTTAGTTCCCAGTCCGGCCCTGCTAAAGAACAGAAAAGCTGCACATGGCACCAACAGCCTCCATATTTGGATATTTTTCGCTATTATAGCATAGCAGCAAAGACTGAGAAGATCAAAACGTATAGCAAAACTAGATCTGGAATGGCTAATAGCCGAATCCAGACCTAGCCTTTACTTATCTTGCCTGGTTTATAGCCACTTGTCTGGTCAACTCATGCACTAGCAAAACCCATTCTCCAAAACTCCTACAGAGTAATGTCCACTTCCAGTCCCAACAAGGAAGAGGATTGTGCAGCCTTCTCATACAGAATAACCTAGCAGAAATCATCAAATATTCCTCAAGCATGTGTTCTACGAAAATAACTTTCTCCAGTAAAACCAGCACTGTAACAACTGCTAATGTTTTCTGTGTTTGTTAAATGTTAGCCTTGTAACAGAACTGTATTCCATTGAGCTCCCCGAGACATACTGAAAATGTGAGAAAGCTCAATGTATTTTTCTTTTTAAATATATAACTATATAATCATACTTATAATGAAATATGTCTTCATTAATACATTTGTTTCCTACCTGACAAGTACTATTACATGAATACATGAAATGTTACCCTGTATATAGTGACACAACTAAATTGCAGCAAGGTACACTTTAAAAGCTGAACAGGTAATTCCTTTTTTTTTTTTTTTGCATGTGATGTTAATCAGTGGGATTTTTTTTTTTAACAAACACATAGTTTTAGGCACTACTGACCCTTTAAACATTAAAAACAACAGTTTTTATGAAATAAAAGAGAGAATGCGGAAGAAGTACGTTGACCACTTCATCATAGGGAATTAAGTACTAATTGCAGTCTGAGTACCATCTTAAAAAAAACTTTTTGCATGAGATCTTTTTAAACCTTAGGGTTGTCTCTATCAAAAGTGGTTATGTGACCAAATGTTTTGAAGCACTGCTGTATTTACCTCACCTATCTTCAACACATCATTTTATTACTTGCCATATACCAATTAAAACGATTTACTTTGCCTATACATTTAGACAGATTTATTCATCTCACACAGTTACACTGAACTAGCTGAATGAAGAATGCACCTTCGGGATGGGTTTTCCACCGATGAGGTTCGCTGTATTTGCTCCACTGGCCCTTAGGATATCTGGTTTGGTTTACCCGCACTCGAGCTTCATATAGAGTGTTAGGATGCAGGGACCTCAGCGTTACCGACAGTTCATTTTGTCTAATAGGTATCATTTTTGCTTCCTGGCAAAGAAAATATAAGTTTAATAGTATTTATATTCTAACCTCATATTAGTAAAAAATAATAAATATGGTAAACAAACAAATAGGTGAGGGTACAAGGCTTACTTACTTACATTCTAACTAGCATGTGATATCAGTTTAAAAAAAGGTAAAAGAGCAATGTATCTAGAAGGGAAGAGAGAATATCTTGATCACCCTATGTCCATCTGCCTTTTGTAGTAAACTCCATGATACACAGTCTCAAACTCCCACATTTTCATTTATAAACCAAGGTTCTTCATTTACAATTTGCCTTTAATAAACTACTAACATGTACGTTATATGTATATTAAAAGTATCTATCTATCAAAATGTTAGTGTGTGCTCTAGTGTATTGTTAGAATAATGTAGCTAAGGAGGTGTCCAGTGCAGCAGATAAAATGGCAGATGGTGCTACTCTGGGATAATTCCTCACCTGCTTAATGCAGTTAAAGGTTTAATTCCACCACATGGGTAAATCAAACCCTCAAGGAATGGATTCCTAAGGTGGAATTATGGAAAAAATATGTCAAGTCATGAGGCATTATTCAAATTTGCTATCCATCTGGTCTCCATGGAAGTGATTCCTCCATTCAAGTCCATTTGAAGAGGATGTGGAAGAACGCCTAATGAGCATTCTTGCCTTTGGTACTAGTTTATTACTCACTACTCACCTCTGCCAGATATTTTGATTATTGTACTTACCCGCTGCTGCTTTATCAAATGGCTTGTGCAAGTTTGGTTTAACTGTTTTTCTTTTTCTTTTTTTTACTATGCCTTATTATTATGTTTTATATCATATGTGGTATCTCAATTCCCTTTTTAAACAATATATGTTTTGCATGGATTGACAATTCATATTGTATGCAACATTTTTGTTGTGCCTGTATTTAGTTTTTTTCAAACAAAATTAAAAAAATATGAATACAAACACATTGCTTTTTTAACTACAATGATTTAATGCATTAAAAAATAAGTGTTCCTTGCATTCTTAATATGTACTTAAAGAAGCCCTATAGCTTCAGGAATAAAAACATGTATTCCTAACACTACAGTGCTGGAATACATTTTTAAGTGACCAGCGCCACTCTCTGTAGAATTACAAGGTGAGTTTACCGCATCTCCACCTCCATGAATGAGATAATCAATAATGATCTCAACCAATATAATGCTTCCCCACAGGAGTTGGAAGGCTTTTGGGCAAAACACCACACTGCAACAGTCAGCATCTCCTCACAGAGATGTATTGAATCAAAGGCAGAATTTACATTAAACATCCTGCTGGGACAGTCTATAGACAGCAGTACCACTACATTAAGCTGTAGTGGTTCTGGTTACTATATTATCTCTTTAATACTGACAGCACAGTTCATTGGAATATTCTATATATAGTATGGCTGAGAACGAGACCCAAACTGTTTTGTTTTTCAATACCAGTGACCTAGACAATAGAATATATTGTACTGTGAATATTTACAATGTATGTCATTACTCCAATGACTCCAGTTGGAATACAATTAATTTCTTACCTCCCATGAATCTGTGCTGGGCTTGTAGAATACTTGGTACTCCATATTTCCTGCGATATAAGGGGGTTGTGGACATTCCCAGCTGAGGTTCCATAGCCTATCATATGTTTCATTGCATTGTAGATATCTTGGTGGATCAAGGCGTACTAGGAATTTAGAGACACATTTTACCATTAATGTAAGGTAGTGCACTAATATATCTGTTAATACTTTTTGCAAACATTTTAATGTGTAAGGAAAATTCTGTGGCAATTATACTTGTTTGTCCAAAGCTGGCTATGTCTACAAGTGCAAGAGTGCCTCAACAGAATTCTGAGCACGAGATGCCCTGGTTAGATGAGTTGCAAAATTTCTTGTTGTCCAGACATGCATGTGTTGTGGGCTTACAACCTTCCTTTCTGGTCACTGTATGTTATCAGTGGCTTGCACTTCCCACTCTGGACTTCCTGATGCAATGCATCGCCCATGGGTGTCTGCAGCATAGGGAAAAAAGGGGGCACATGCCACTTGGAGAAATTGCCTTTCCTTTGATTAAATCTGTGAAAGTGTGGTACACTGCCTAAACATATAAAGACTTTGCCCTATAACCAATATTTTTTGTGAATAACCCTGGTATTACCTATCACAAAGCAAGCTGTTTTTGGGGTTGTTTGATGTATAAAGAGGTAAAATGTACTATCTGGCAGACAAAAAAATAAAAATCTTAATATCGTAATGTATTTCTCTTGCAAAGAATATTGGTCTGATAATCTGGTTCTGAATTGCCTATGGGTGTAGAACCCTTCTAATTTGTGAATGGTTCTTTCTTTAAAGGCTCACATTATCTAAAATTAATTGAGAAATAACTATATAGGAGCATTATTATTCTTGTGTTTTACATCTTATCTTTGGCTCGTTTCTACATGTGGAGTTATAGCATATGATACCCTACACTGTAACACATGTAGCCACTGTAGTGAAGCCACAATCTTATGAATACCATGTTGATATTTTGAAGTTGCTGTTTTAAAAGAGGTAATTTTGATAATTTTTCTGGTAGTTGTTTTATGGACAGGGACTCATTTTGGACAATTTAAACAGGACGTCAGTGACCCGCCATATGCCTCAATATTTGAGGGGCCTGCAGGCATGAGAGCCACAATAAAACATCTCTCACTGTGGAATATATGTAAGTCAGGAAGAGTCAGCAGTGGTGGTTGTGTGGAAGCTGCAGTTACTAACAATCTACCTGCAACATAGTAACTCTGAGACAGACTGGACTTGCCCTATTCTGGGGGGGAAGGGAAGAGACTGAGCTGTCTAATGCTCAATGTCCTTCCTAAACACTAGAATCCAGGGACAGCAGGAAACCCCTCTTTCTCCATGTCTGTGTAACATAAGGAGATATAGGGTGAGTACAAGTAGAACTTTCAAAGAAGGCTTAAGATCCCACAAGGCCCTAGGCTTGTTTCCAAGTACCCCCTTCATTCTTCCCATAGGTATGGTAAATGGGGCCAAGTATATTCATGGTTCTGGGGCCTTTGTCTTACCTCTGGCCCCTAGGCAACTGCCTATGGCCTTACGGTTAATTCTGCTCTCATAATTTATGTATGTTTGTAAGCATGTGTATATGGATGGATGCTATGTATGTTATTAGTGTGTGCTAAATGAGAAATTTGTATGTGGCTAGTTATAATGTTGTGTATGTGTGTAAAAAGGGGGCCTTGTAAATTATAGAGGAGGCCATTACAAAAATAATGACATCTTTACCAACTTTTACTTATTCAACCAGAAACTCAGAACTTGAATTGCTCTAAAAGTATGTTAATGTACGAATGTTTTTCAAACATTTTGGAATCATGCAAGAAAGTCCCTATTTTGGAACCCTGCTTTTTTTTTAAAGTTTTTTTTTTGTAATCTCTGCTGTATACCTGCCTGATGAGAACACCATAAAAAAATTCCAGAAAGAAACGTACAAGTATGTGTGCATCATTAACCCCTTCAAGACAGATTACTCTTTTGTCATTACCACTTCCCTTGGTGCCAAACAATTTTGGGAAGTAAGATACAATCGACAAAATGAATTGGCACACAAATGAAGAAAGATTAAACAGAACGATAGGAGAAAAGGTTAAATGGTACTTACAGTGGTTGAATAGATTGTGATTTACTAGTGATGCAATGCTGCTGTTTTTTCCCCGTCCATTGCTGCAATTTACGGTTATATTTAAACAATCTGATACAGTGATAACATTTTTGGTCTAAAAACAGTGGAGAAAAACATAAAATAAGAAGAATTTGTGTTTTGTTGAGCTATGTGAGCCATGGATCTCTAATGTTGGTACAGTTAGAGTACTTCCAATTACAATTATTACATATATTGTAGAGAAACATGATTATATAGGACTGGAAAAGAGAGAAGGTGGGGCAGCGCTATATAAGAAATGATAGAGGGCAGCACACCTAAAAAGGGAAATTCTCTCCAAATCCCTTAAACAATAGTACGAATAGACAAAAAAATATAGGGTGCGCCAATAGAGAAATAGATATCAAACAGCAAAATAAGAAACACTTAATAAAATGAATAAAAATACGGATACCTCAATAAGATAATAGCTGCTCTAAGATTAGGATAGAAGTAAAAGTCTCTTAATGCCTGGGTAAATATAGGTATATCTTCAGACATGATAGTAACCGAGATGATCAGCTCCCATGGATATATGTAAGGAAAGAAGATAAAACTCCACTAGTGCAATAAGTCCAAAATAAGTGCGTAAATCTCAAGAGAAATCCAAGTTTCTACTGACATGTGGTAGAGCTCAAACGATCTCAGCTCAAACGATCTCAGCAATGTGCATATAGTGGTTTTGATGCTCTACTACTAGGATATCGCTGTAAGGCAGTGTTCACAATTGTCGTAGTAGCTGGGTGTATATAAAATGAAAGAGAATAAAAAGCCAAAATAGTGCTCACTGTATAAAAAGATAAACCAGGAGTAATAGTGGTAGAAATATACTCACAATCTACTGAGCAGATAGCCCGCTTAAGTATATAAGCGTTGATGGTATAATCCCCACCTGGGATACTTGGTGAGTTCCTCACAGGAGATGTGAAGGGTCTTTTTCAAATTGTTATAGTATAACCACTTGAAAAAGTCCTTTTTGGGAGAAGAGCGTTATGGACTGGATGTTTTTATTAGTTTTATTTGTTTAATAAAGGTGTATTGGCAACAATACCATAGTATTGTGCCATATTCCTTGTTTTTATTACCTGGCATCCTGATTCACATCTCCAGTGAGGAACTCACCAAGTATCCCAGGTGGGGATTGTAGCGGATGGCATTGGGCTGTCCTCAAAATTATGTGTATTCGTATGCTTTCGGTTACATTTTGCCATATGTATATAAGTTCTATGCAGCATTCGTCTGATTGTTCGGTAAAATCACTCCAGTTATTATGGGAGTGAAACTACCGAACAATCAGATCACCCCAGGAATAAGTGTGCCTCCAATTACCGTTTGCAACAATGTTGCAAATGGGTAATTGGCAATCAGTGCAGTGTGTGCTTTGTCCTCTGGGTGGCCGCCATTCGGGAGACGAACACGTGACGTCGGCCATCTTAAAATCCCGAACAGCGGTGTTTTGCCGTTGAGTGTCTGGAACCCAAATCGGACACTTGGCTAGGCAAACACCGCTGAGACCTCCACAGTGCCATCAATTCGTGTAGAAACTACCGAACGGCTCCCTGTTCATAGAAAGAACCCCACGAACAAGGGGGTTTATCCGAATCCTCCCCAGTCTCCATAACCCAAGCCGTTCATGCATTTTAGTCCCCTTTTCTGTGACTGACCAAAGGGCCAAAATGTATGGAACCCATTTTGGCTATTTACCCCAACACGGTCTGTCTTTTTACTACCTCCAGGAATTTCCAGAAAACCCCTGGTCCGATCTGAGTGATTTTTGAATATGTCCCTCACCCAGATCAGGGCTACCAGGGGATGTAATATTTAAAGGGGTACCCCTATCTTTAGGGGTACATCCAGAAAACCAGGGGAACTGTGTCCTGCATAATAGGATTATGAGTCATACTAAGGGGAGGGGATGTGTGGGTGGCAACTCATGTATGGGAGAAAGCTTTAAAAGAAGGTTGAGTGATTAAAAGTTCAGTTCTATCGCAGAACCGCACATAAACGAATCACCAAAATCCACTCTAGAGAGGGACAGCTGCAGGACTCACCAGACCAAATAGCTAAGATATTCCAAGAATACTTCTCGGAGCTCTATGATCATAGCCCCCAACACAGACGGGACCCCGCGCCACTAACCACCAAAATCAACGAATACCTCGACTCTATCACCCTACCCTCACTAACACCCGAAGGGGCTAGCCGACTGTCCGAAGAAATTACTATAGAAGAAATAGCAAAAGCACTCAAAACACTAAAACCAAACAAATGCCCAGGCCCAGACGGATTCTCGGGGTTATATTACAAAACCTTCGCGTCGACCCTAATCCCGCAACTAAGCAAACTCTACAACTCACTCCTACAGGGAGACCCCTTGCCCCCTGATATGCTGCAGGCAAACATCTGCCTCCTGCCGAAACCTGGCAAGACCCACCTCGAGCCCGGACATTACAGACCAATATCCCTACTAAATGTAGACGTCAAACTATTCACGAAGGTGATGGCGGAAAGACTTAACCCCCTCCTCCCTCGACTTATCCACCCAGATCAAGTAGGCTTTATCCCACACAGACAAGCCAGTGATAACACTAGGCGCACCTTTGACCTTATCTGGTACACCAACCGCAGACGCATACCGACCTTGCTATTATCCCTAGACGCCGAAAAGGCATTTGACAGATTGCTATGGCCCTTTCTTTTCGCCACCTTACAGAAATTCGGCTTCCCCTCACCCTTCCTGGATGCACTGAAGACCCTCTACTCTTCCCCCACGGCCACTCTTCTCCTACAATTGACGACAGCCCCTTCCTTCCAAATCAGGAATGGAACGCGACAAGGGTGCCCACTCTCCCCCATCCTCTTCGCCATCTCTCTTGAACCACTACTCCAAGTCCTGCGTAACCACAACGAGATCCAAGGAGTGCGAATTAGGGATGAAACTTATAAAATAGCGGCATATGCAGATGATGTACTCCTGTCAATAACAGACCCTTTGAACTCCCTGCCACCCCTGTCCATGGAGCTAGCGAAATACGCACAACTTTCGGGATACAAACTCAACCTAGGAAAAACTGAGGTCCTCCCAATCCAAGTAGATCAAACCACTCTCCAAAACCTCCAAAGGAGACACCCGTTCACATATCAGACCACAGCCCTGAAATACCTAGGTATTACGCTCCCAGCGGACCTCACACAAACCTACAGCTTAAACTACACACCCCTGCTAGCGACGGCCACACAAGACTTAGCAAAATGGAAAAACATGTCGATCTCATGGATCGGCCGAACGACCTCGATCAAAATGAACCTCCTCCCGAGGTTCCTATACCTCTTCCAGACCCTTCCAATACCGATCCTAGCCTCTGACTTTAAAAAACTTCAAACTCAAATAGACAAGTTTATATGGGCGGGAAAAAGAGCGCGCATAGCTCGACGCACATTGTACATACCAAATCGGCAGGGTGGACTAGGACTTCCCAACCTTACCCACTACTTCTACGCGGCACAAATTGCACAGACAATCCAACTCCACGCGGCCCCTGGCCTTAAGAGATGGGTAGACCTAGAACATAATATATTTGGGTCAGATTTTCCCTCTCTCTATATCTGGCTCCCAAAAGACGCCAGGCCACCGATTCCCATCACCTCCCCAGCTATTCTCACCATGATAAACATTTGGGATAAAATCACCCAAAAACATAACCTTATCTCCCAGCCCTCCCCACTAATGCCCATCCTCCGGAACACTAAATTCACGCCAGGTATGAACCCAAAGGACTTCGTCCGTTACGAAGACAACGACTTGATTCGCATTCACCAATTTTACAAAAACCAATCTATCATACCCTTCGCAGAACTCCCACAACAGACCCCCTTCATAGCTCGCGACCTCTTCCGGTACATACAGATCCGCAGCTACATAGAAAAACCAGCCTTAGTGAAAGCGAGCAACTCCCCTCTCACACCGCTGGAAAAAGCGTGCAACACACATCCACTAGGCACGGGACAAATATCAATCTTATACTCCTTACTAAGCAGGCAACCACGAGAGGGATCTCTGTCCTACACTGCAGCCTGGGAGAGAGACCTTGGCCCCATAGGGAATCAGAGCGATTGGGCAGACATTTGGGAAGCTACAGCAACGGTATCGATCTGTGTCAATCATAAAGAACAAGCATACAAAACCCTCCTCCGATGGTACGTCACCCCACTACGCCTGAAACAAATGAAACAAGCAGATAACGATCTGTGCTGGAAGGGTTGCGGGAACAGAGGCACATACACTCACATGTGGTGGGAGTGCCCCCGGGTAACCACTCTGTGGCAACATATGGCGCGACTCGCCACACAGGTTCTACACACCACGATCCCGTTAGACCCCTGGCTATGGCTCCTATCCAGACCACTCAAAAACACCCCAAGGGCACAAAACAAACTACTGGCCAAGCTAGCCCTGGCCACCAGACGAGCGATAGCGGAGAAATGGGGGAGCCCAGATGTCCCGTCCACCACAACCATAACACAGAAAATTAACGATGCCATGCAAATGGACAAACTAACTGCCCTAATACACGACAATACCAAACACTTCAACAAAATATGGGAGCCATGGATCTTCGAATTCCCCACCCTGCCGAACGTCCCATTAGGGGGGGTTGACCAGGTGGGAGGGAACACCCGAGGTTCTCCAACACGGCCGAGTGACCCACCCACACAGAGCGATGCTCGACCTCTGGCTAACACACCTAGGACCAGACCACACTGTCCAGCAGACCCCAGAGCACATCCAAAGTAGAGAGGACAAACAGTGTCACAGGTAAACAAACCACAACCCCAACACTTTAGACACACATAACTACTCAGGAACGAACCAAATAGACTACACATCTTAGCACCATTAGAGGTAGCCCACCAATCACGGCGGGAGGCACCCGACCTGAACAAAAACACTTGGCCCAACACTCCCCACCAGTCATCTATAACCCAAGGACGGGCACACACATAGTCCATGGACAGAGTTCTAGCCTACCCAATCGCATAACCACCCAACCCCAGAAAACTCAATCCCACGGCACATCCTAGCCTGGACAGGGGTCGCAACACATCGATAGGCCCACCACCAAGCCTCAAATACCAGCCTCACGGAGCGACAGACCCCCCCCCTTTTTTTCCTGCACATACCCCAGACGGAGACTCACAAACACACACCACCCCTTATCTGGGACACTAAACGCACCACACACACACAACAACACGTCACATAAATCAAACTTAACACACGTGAAACCACGGAAAACTGTTACGCGATGTAATATAGTTCACCCCACTCCAGGAGTTACACCCTGGAGCCCCCTTCTCACTAAACACAGAGTCCAACGAAAGCGATTATGAATAGCAGCAGCAGCCAGAACCACCGCACAATCAGGCACACCACTTGGTCATAGCTGAAACATCTTGCCAGCAACAGACAAAGTAAGCAATAAACAGAAACTCTGTGTACCTGACCTTCTACCCAAGCCCCCCCTCATATGTGTACCCTACCCCGGCTAACATGAACAAACAATGACGGAGAAACTCTATAAAAATTAGACCAGGAAGGCTACGGTGCCTGGCACACATGAGGTACAATGTTAACAACAGACTCAACCTTGTTTTGATAACTGCCTTTGATGTACAAGATGACGGTCATATTAATCCATGTCAATGTATGATACTCTGTCACAATAATGTTCAAAAGGACGACTGGTCCTAACGCCCTCTTACCTTCCTCCCCCCACCCCTTCTTCCTTTCTGTACCCCTTTAATCCCTCCTGCTTGTTTTTGACTTAAAAACAATAAAAATCTTGAATTAAAAAAAAAAAAAAAGTTCAGTTCTGCTCCTGATGCTGGGTGTTGTCCAGTTATTGGGATCTGTATGGGGATATTCATGGATTACCTTGCTTGCTGTGAATATTGTTCTATGGGATTTTATTACTTGTTCCTGAGCCTCACTGGGATCTAGTGGAGTTAACCTGTGAAAGACCAGCTCTCCGCTACAGGGATTATACCACGTATGCTTATATACTTGAGCAGGCTATCTGCTCAGTAAATTGTGAGTATATTTCTACCACTAGTACTATTTTGGCTTTTTATTCTCTTTGATTTTATGTACACCCAGCTACTACGACATCTGTGAACACTGCCTTTCAGTGATATTCTAGCAGTGGAGGATCAAAACCACTATATGCGCCCTACACCAGAGCTTGTTTGAGCTCTATCACATGTGAATAGAAACTTGGATTTCTCTTAAGATTTGCACACTGATTTGGGACTTATTGCACTACACAAGTTTTATCTTCTTTCCTTACATATGTCCTTGGGAGCTGGTCATCTTGGTTACTATTATGTCTGAAGAAATATCTATATTTACCCAGGCATTAACTAACTTTGACTTCTATCCTCATTTTAAAGCAGCAATTATCATATTGGTATATCTGCATTTTTATTCATATTATTAACAGTGTTCTTATTTTGCTGTTTGATATTTATTTCTCTATTGGCACACCCTATATTTGTCTATTCATAGATGATTATATGCTTGGTAGACAACAAAACAAACACACAAAAAATGTAGTACTATGTATGAACATTGGTTAAACTTCTTGTTGATGTAGATGATTTGATATACAGTGAGAGGCACCTTAAAATGGCCATCCATAACTCTGTATTTAAAGGATGGTTTGAGTACACATTAAATGGTAAGTTTGTTGATTTTCACCGTTGTCCTGCACTGAGAAGAATTGTATTAATTGTCAACCCACATTTCAGGGTATGTGATAAGGAATCTGGGAGCCCATTGTGTCACTCCAGTTACTAAGGGGGATCCTAATAATATGAGATTATTTGAACTGGACCCACAATTACAAGATTTACAATCCTACACACTGGTCAATTAGAACCTATCTTAACATAAATACCCATTTGGGGATATACACCGAACTGGAACAGTTCCAGCTTACCAAGTGTTCCTGAGTATTGTGGCCCAAAATGCACAAGCTTCAAATCCCCTTACCAATTTTCTCAGCATTACAATTTAAGAAACAATAAAAGAACACTATAGGACCAGGAACGCAAATGTATTCCTGACCCTATAGTGTTAAAAACACAATCTAGCACCTCTGGCCTCCCTTACCCAGCTAACTATAGTAACATTTTACCTTTATTCCTGTTCAGCCTCTGATTTGCCTGCTTGGCTGACATAATCAGAAGTGTTGATCTGGGTCAATCACAATGCTTTCCCATAGGAAAGCATTAGATTGGCTGAGACTGTCAAGGAGGCAGATCAGGGACAGAGCCAGCACAAGCCAAACACAGCCCTGGCCAATCAACATCTCCTCATAGAGATGTATTGAGTCAATGCATCGCTATGGGGAAACTTCAGTGTCTCAATGCAGAGGGTGAAGACAATGAATGGCAGTACTGCACACTGTGCAGCACTGCCCCAGGAAGCACCTCTAGTAGCCATCTGAGGAGCCATATTAGGCCCTAGGTTAGATACAAATCTCTTCCTTGCTCAGTTTTGCACCCTCTGTGTTTTACAGAAGGTACATTGGCAATTCAACAAATTCTGGCACCTCTAATTCTGCAACAATGCTGTAGTGATGAAATAGGGAGAAGAGTCTGTGATCTGTACTCCTGCTTCACAGATCACCTCCTCTCCTGCTAGTAGACATTGAGTTCTACCTACGGCCTCTTCCTAACTTCATTCTTGTGACCTCTAGCTAGACTGCATTAACCATGTTAGCTTTCATTGTTTGCCTGTTATTAGTGCAAGAGTGCAAAAAACGGAAAAACAACTCCAGTTCCGCGATTTGCTTAACTGATAAATGCTGGTTACATCACGTTATTCAATGTAGCACAAAAAGATAACATTGATATCATTTGTCTCTTGTAGTTTATACTTACATTAAGCGCATTGGTCATTCGTAGATTACATTGTCGCTGACCCTCAGCTGGAGGAAGTGGACAGAATCCCTTCACCTTCCTTCTATCACTGGAAAAGAAATAGATGTTGTGTCTTCAATAGTGTATTATCAATTTACAATATATTTATTATATATTTCTAAATTATCATACACCATATTTTTCAGGATATAGGAGATATATATTTTTCTGAGAGTATACATATATATATATATATTTAATTTATTTAGTATTCCTTTAACAGATCAGGAAATAAGAACTTCTAAAGGGTATCATTTCTGTATGCAGGAAAGGTTACAAATTAGCATTTTTTTTTCAGGAAGAATGTAGGGGAAGCTTTGTTGAAGGCTGCAAAATTAAAATGGTTTTACTCGTAAATGGAGAGAATTGATTAAATGGAGAGAATTGATCAGTACAACTGCATGGACTATGCACCAAATCTATGTGTTGTTGACGATTTGTTCATTTAATGATGCTAATAGGAGGCATGTGACACATTAATCTATCATGTTCCATATGCTTGCACATGACAATTCAAGTTTAGCAAAAATGTGTATTTCTTGTGTTATTAATATTGCTAGCTATATTTTATAAACTTGTGCATTACTATTTTTCAGTTGCTATGAACAAATCAAATTCCTTTTTATCTATAAACATGCAAAATAAGCCCAACTACAAGCCCGCTACTCCTGGGCGGCAAGGATGACTACCGTACACATCAGCACCAATCCTTAACCCCTTAAGGACCAAACTTCTGGAATAAAAGGGAATCATGACATGTCACACATGTCATGTGTCCTTAAGGGGTTAAAACAAACAAAAAAACGTTACCTGCGCACTATACTAAATCCCTATGCACATTTAAATAACTGGAGGTTGTTAGTGTCACACCGATGGCCATTAAAGTGTAAGCTCGCCTGCCAAGCCATGGCAAAACTCTTAGGTGAGTCCTACACTAACAATCCACCTTGCTTCTTTGAGCTGAAAGGTAAAAATCTCTAATGAGACAGGGAGGGGTATTTTTCTAATCCCCTACATACTTACTAACCTTTAACAAGGCACACATGCGGTGGGATTTTGGATAGTGTAAAGGTAACTGTTTGATTTTTGTTCCTTTTTTCTACGGCTGAACGATTCAATCCATCTGGGATTTGCCTGTGGAATTTTTACAGGTATATCCCTTACAGATTGATTGAATCAGGCACAGACTAAATTAATTTATTTAGTTTGTTACTTCATACTAACTGAAAAGAGTTAGCACAGATTGATTTTTTTTTTTTTTTTTTAGATACATAGCTTATTTGGGTCATTACTTGGTTGTGAAGTTACGGACTTGTGTTTAGTGTTCATTCCACTCATGCACAAATATTTTAGGTTATTTGTCAGAACAATTTGAGCAGTCAAAGTGAATTCAGTGTGAATTTCAAATCTATGGCTTAAGTAAGGAGCATTGATAGAGCATAAAGCATACAAAGAGGAGCATTGGGAACCTAATGCGCATGTGCGATGAGCATTCAAAATTCGCAAATAGAAAGGCATTGAGTCAATGCTTTCCTCTGGGGCTTCCTCATCACATGACAATGTTTTACACAGTCAGTGCCGCAGAAGCGTCTCTCTATGACAGCCACTAAATGAGGAGTTTCTCAAAACAATGTTCTTTTAATTGGCTTCTAGTGCCAGTAGTCTCCATTGTAAGATAAGAGTTTGCACAATTTTACAACCTATGCCAATGTGAATATTTTATTGATACAATTTGTAAAGGTTCCAGGGATGGATTCTCCTAGCAGAGCAGGAGTTTACTTTCTTCACTGAATAGCAATTCCTCCATTGTAGTCTATAGGAAAATTGCTATTCAGGAAGCAGGTGCAAAATGTTTGCCATGATATATGTTAAAGGATCACTATAGTGTCAGGAAAATAAACCCGTTTTCCTGACACTATATAATCCTTGGGGGATCCTCACCCTCAGGGTCCCCCTCCCGTGGCGCTAAAGGGGTTAAAACCCCTTCAGCTACTTACCTTTATCCAGAGCTGTCTATAATATTAATTGGACCCTGGGCAAATAATTTTCTTGGTCCCCCTGAACCCTGCCCCTACCTCCCGTTCCCCTCCACCAGCCCCCACTCCTTGGCGGGCAATCACACATTTCACCATGACACAGTGGGGGAACTAAAGTAGAGAGGTACAAGACATACTTACACAAACATATACACTGACAGACATACTGATACATACACACAAACATACTGACATACATATATTCATTGACAGATATATTGACAGACACATACTGACACACAGACAGACATAAGGACACACACAGGCATACGGACACACACATATACTGACAGACATACCGACACACACACACATATACTGACAGATAGGGGCGTATTAGCCGCGAGGCAAACAAGGCATTTGCCTTGGGCGGCATTTTTCAGGGGACGGCAAAAAACGCCGCCCCCCAAATGCCCAGGGCAAATGCCTAGTTAGCCTCGCGGCTAACTGACATCCCGAGCGGGCGGGCAGGCGGGCGGCTGGCGAGGGAGCACTTCCTATGAGCTCTCTGCTCAGCTCCCTCGCGCGCCGCAGAGTGAGCCTGGGAGCCGGAAGATGACGTCATCTTCCGGCTCCCAGCCTCACTCTGCAGCTGGCAAGCGAGGGAGCTGAGCAGAGAGCTCAGAGGAAGTGCTCCCTCGCCAGCCGCCCGCCTGCCAGCGCCGCCCGACCTGCAGCCACTGGACCACCAGGGAGAGAGACCCCCCCCCCCAGCACTCCCAAAGGTAAGGGGGTTGGGGGGGGATTTAAAAAAAAAAAAAAAAAGGTAATGTGTGTTTGTGTCTGACTGTGTGTGTTTGTGAGTGTGTTTGTGTCTGACTGTGTCTGTTTGTGTCTGTGTATGTGTCTGACTGTGTTTGTGAGTGTGTGTGTGTCTGACTGTGTGTGTTTGTGTCTGTGTATGTGTCTGACTGTGTTTGTGTATGTGTCTGACTGTGTGTGTCTGACTGTGTGTTTGTGAGTGTGTGTGTGTCTCTGACTGTGTATGTGTGTGTGTTTGTGTCTGACTGTGTTTGTGAGTGTGTGTGTTTGTGTCTGTGTTTGTGTGTGTGTTTGTGTGTGTGTTTGTGTCTGACTGTTTGTGTCTGTGTATGTGACTGACTGTGTGTGTTTGTGTCTATGTGTCTGACTGTGTGTGTGTGTATGTGTCTGACTGTGTGTGTGTGTGTGTATGTGTCTGACTGTGTGTGTGTGTTTGTGTCTGACTGTGTGTGTGTGTGTGTATTTAGAAGGTGGGGCGGGGGGAAGGGCTGGGTGGGGGTGGCGCGGGGGCAGGGGGGCGCCTGAGTTTTGTTCTGCCTAGGGCAGCACAAAACCAGGATACACCACTGCTGACAGACATGCTGACACACACAGTAACAAACATACTGACAGACATATTGACACACACAGAAACACCCACTGACCGCGTTAGTGACGGACATACACACAAACTGACAGACATACTGACGCACACTAACAAATACTAACACACACACTGACAGACATACTAACACACACACATTGACATACTGACACACTCACACTGACAAATAATAACACACACACACACACACACACACACTGACAAATACTAACACACACTGACAGACATACTGACACACACACACTGACAGACATACTGACAAATACTAACACACACACTGACAAATACTAACACACACACACACTGACAGACATACTGACACACACAGACACACTGACAAATACTAACACACACACTGACAAATACTAACACACACACACTGACAGACATACTGACACACACTGACAAATACTAACACACATTCACATACAATCACACAGGCACAAAATACACTTTTCACCTACCTTCTGTTTCCAACCTTGAAGGGTGCCTTCCCTGGTGTCCAGAGTGGTGGCTGAGGCTGTTGTGAGTTAGGGGCTGGCTCGCCCGGCCCAGCCCCCCTCCTCAATGCCTCCTTGATCTCTCCCGTGCGGCTCTAGGTTTTCACTGGGAGGAAGTGACGCGCGACCGTCAATTCCTCCCAGTGCTGCCGAAAAGCATGCAGGCGGTCGCGCTGTTAAAGGGATACAGCGTGCGACCGGAATCCTGCTGACAAAGCCCCACCAGGTGGCCGTTAGTGCATGGGCCACCCGGTGAGCCTTCTTAGTGTGCGGGGGGAAATAGTGGAGGGCAGCAGGGCCCACGGGGCAGCTGCTTTGGGCCCCCCTGAGTAACTGGGCTCGGGGCAGCTGCCCGGTTTGCCCCACGTTAAAGACGGCCCTGCCTTTATCCAGCGCCGGGCTCCCTCAGCAAAGGTGACCTCTCCTCCCTGCCGACGTAAGGTCCCGAGTGGAGTGGAATGCGCATGCGCGGCAAGAGCCACCCGCCCTTTCAAACAGTCCATAGAAAAGCATTTCTCAATGCTTTCCTATGGACGCAGAAGCGCCTCTACCGGCTGTCAGGAAGACAGCCACTAGAGGTTTGAACTGTAAAGTTCGGGTTCGTACCGAACATTAAGATTTTTTGACCCCGAACACGAGCACTGACATTTCAGTAACAGTTCGGGTTCGAGTTTGGTGTTCGGCGACTTAATGGCATGTTTTGAAAAGAACTTATTGTCCTCCTCCCGGCCCCCACCCCCGAGCAGCGGGTGGGGGCCCTAAAGTAAAATGATGGAGAGGACCTATTGTCCACCTCCCCAGCCCCCACCTCTGAGCGGTGGGTGGGAGCCTAAATACAAACACAATGGATGGAGCAATATTAATTCTTTCCTCTTCTCCAATATATTGCTGTGGAGATAGAGAGATATACAACAATAGTGTAAATCAATTACAATATATATTAAAGTGCAGTAGGTGCAAGGAAACACTCACAAAATTAGAGCCATAGGACCTGGCTCTGGTGTGGATAGCTTCTGGATCTATTATAGGGTGATCCTTAACCCTTCTGTCGCTGGTATGGTTTCCAATGTATAGAAGAGGATCCAAAAGATGGAGTGATAAAAAAACTACTTTATTATAAAAAATATATACATAAAATAATGAAGGATAAAATATATGTAGTAAATAGCAAGCCAATACGCGTTTCGCCAATTGTGGCTTCCTCAGTCAGCTTCAGGAAGCCACAATTGGCGAAACGCGTATTGGCTTGCTATTTACTACATATATTTTATCCTTCATTATTTTATGTATATATTTTTTATAATAAAGTAGTTTTTTTATCACTCCATCTTTTGGATCCTCTTCTATACATTGGAAACCATACCAGCGACAGAAGGGTTAAGGATCACCCTATAATAGATCCAGAAGCTATCCACACCAGAGCCAGGTCCTATGGCTCTAATTTTGTGAGTGTTTCCTTGCACCTACTGCACTTTAATATATATTGTAATTGATTTACACTATTGTTGTATATCTCTCTATCTCCACAGCAATATATTGGAGAAGAGGAAAGAATTAATATTGCTCCATCCATTGTGTTTGTATTGTATGTATTTATTTGTGTTGGTATAGGGGATACCACACGGGTGTTTGAGCTATTATAGTCACCTACTGTGCCATTTCTTGCATTTGTGATATACATTGTTGGGAGCCTAAATACCAATAAGGGGGGAGGAACTATTGTCCTCCCCCCTGGCCCCCACCCCTGAGCGGCAGATGGGGGTCCTAAATTAGAATAAGGTAAGGGGGACCTATTGTCCTCCCTCCTGGCCCCCACCCCTGAGCGGTAGGTGGGGGTCCTAAATTAGAATAAGGGGTGGACCTGAATGGTGGGTGGGGGCCCTAAATAAAAATTGGGGGACCTGCGCTACACCCCTGGATACCCCCCACCTCACCCTAAAAATAATTAGGGGGGACCATTAGCTAATTACCTGTAAAAATAATAAAATTAATCTTACCATTTGATGTTTTCTTTCTTCTAAAATCTTCTTTTTTCAGCCCCAAAAAAGGCCAAATAAATATCCATAATAACCAACGCACTTAAAAAAAAACAAAAAAAAAATCTTCACCCATGGAGGACTGCGCGCAGACTGAGCACTGCAGGGCGGGGCAAGGCTTATAAAGCTCATTTGAGCTCTACCACATGTCAGTAGAAACCTGGATTTCTCTTAAGATTTACGCACTTATTTTGGACTTATTGCACTATAAAGCCTTGCCCCGCCCTGCAATTAGGCTCAGAGCACTATGATTAGTGGGTTTAAGCCATCCAATCAGAGTGCTCTGACAGGTAAATTAAGAGACTGACAGGTAAGTCTCTACATTTACCTTTACAGCACTCTGGTTGTCTTGAAATCCACCAATCCGAGTGCTCTGTGTCATTTTACACAGCGTGTGAAAGTTCTTTGGAATTTTCCCACGCTGTGTAATTTTGATTTATAACACTCTGATTGGTGGATTAAGTAACCAATAAGAGTGTTATGAGTCAAATTACACAGTGCCCTGAGCCTAATTGCAGGGCGGGGCAAGGCTTTATAAGCCTTCCGCCGCCTTGCAGAGCTCAGTCTGCACGGAGTCCTCCATGGGTGAAGATTTTTTTTTGGTTTTTTAAAGGTGCGTCGGTTATTATGGATATTTTTTTGGCCTTTTTTGTGCCTGAAAAAAGATTTTAGAAGAAAGAAAACATCAAATGGTAAGTTTTTTTGTTTTTTTTTACAGGTACTTAGCTAATGGTCCCCCCTCATTATTTTTAGGGTGAGGGGGGTAGGTAAGGCTTAATTTTTTGGGGGAGGGGGTGATTAGGGGTTTGGGGACACTCGTCACCTGGGGGAGGGGGGTCAGGGGAGAGGACAATAGGTCCCCCCCCTTATTGGTATTTAAGGCCCCCACCCACCGCTCAGGGGTGGGGGCCAGGGAGGAGGACATTAGGTTCCCCCCCTCTCACAATTTTTCTTTAGGGCCCCCACCCACCGCTGTATAGCAAGTAGGGGCATAATTTACTAATACTAAGTAATCTTTACTTAGTATTAGTAAATTTGACTGAAAGACCAATTCAGGTCTTTCAGCCTTTTAGTAGATAGCTCTCTAATACCGTGGGAATTAGGGAGTTATCTACTTATTCATTCCTGTCATTACATTGACTAGCCAAGTAACCTACATTTTATATGAATGTGTGTTACTTGATTGTTGTAAGTGTTGCAAATGCTTACAGCTGAATCCTGGCTACGTTTGTATACTTTTTATTTAAAATTGTATGCAGTGTAACATTCTTCTTCTTCCACTGGGTAAGTATATTAGTACATTTTACTTCCTTTTGCAGCCCTCTAACACTTTCAGGACTTTTTTAGAGCCATTTTAGTGCCCAAAAGTTCGGGTCCCCATTTACTTCAATGGGGAACTTTTGCCGAAGTTCGGCCGAACCCAGCGAACCCAAACATCCAGGTGTCCGCTCAACTCTAGTTATATTATACTCTAGTTATATTATTAGTGACTTATCGCTGCCATTTGCCCAGTAAATACAATGCATATTAGTTTATCAAATAATCATATAACGGGTGTAGCTATTTTACTGAGGCTCAAGAAAGTCTACCTACTTAAATTCTTTGTTACACATTCTCAATATTTTGAGATTTGTTTTTATTTATCTCCCTTTTAGTCATCATTTCCCACTTCCCGTTTTACTCCACTTCTATTAGACCAACTTTCCTGATTTGCCTCGCCACAAACAGACACTACCTGTTTCATCTGACCACCATAACATTTCCTTCTATTATATGATCACGTCTTCGTTTCACACCTGTCCACTCACCCACAAACATGATCTGTTTTTAAATGTTTATAGAAGTGTTTAGAGATAGACAGATAGAATGGCAGACATATGGAAACAGAAAAATACACAAACACCCACGTACATATATCATTATTGGACAGGATGTTGACGACTATACTCACTGAGCTTATGCCATGGCCATTGCTGGTCTTTACCAATACCATACAAAAATGATAGTGCCATACATAACAATATCAATCTACAACAGCATCAGAAGTTGCACAGAACACAGAAGGGTGTGAACCTAAATATACCTGTTCTTATATCTAGTATCAGAGGCAGCCACGATCAGTCCGTTGATTTTTTTGATGGCAATGTTGCTATTTCTATTGTTTATTTACAAGGACTGGATATTTTGTTTCTGTTGGGTATTCACGCAATGAATGCAATCCCATACACATTTACATTAATGGTTAGCCTGTTGAATGGTATATAACAGGTTACTTTCACCCCCCTCTAGCTACAGGTTTAACACAGCACAACTTGAACAATGAGGCAGCAGCATTACATTTAACTTTTGTTGCAAGCTTGCCATATATTTGATATTTTGATACAAATGCTGTGTTAAATTAGAATAGATGTCTATGATATTTGTATTCTCATATTTTTCAGACATTGACACTGATTATAATATTAAAGTCAGAAGTCTGATTTGACATTAACCAACATAGACATTAGGGAAGTACAGCTATTGATAGCTGTGGAGATCTATATATTGATCGTTTTTTTGACCTCTTTTTGGTATATTCACAAACATTTTTTTGCTTAATTATTATTTTCATATTTTGATATCATTTATCCAAATCTAATTTCCAGTCACTATTTACTTATCTGGAGTGTTTTTCTTCAGATTTGTGAATTTTTTCAATATTCTAGGAATAGGGGTTATGCCCCATATGACACTGCTGGAGTGTCAATAAAGGTGTTTTTATCTATGGAATGGGCAAACTAACCCTATCCATAGATATATTTTGTCCATTGGAAGCATCAGAAGTTAGTTTATCTATTTGTTTTAGAAAAAGAATTGGAAGAAAGCAATGATTTGCTTCTCATGATGTGCTTTTTTCAATCCTATTTAAAGATGCAATTTATATGCATTAAAGAGAAATGTATCGCTAATCATTATTCTTAAACTTAATAGGACAAAAGGAAGGTCAGATCAGCCCTGTATCTGGTGTGTATATAGGACTCTCAGTCAGGGGTGGGAAACATCCAGCCCGCGGGCCGTATAAGGCCCACAAAATCATTTGGACCAGCCCATGGAGGGCCGGCCCGCTGTTTGCCTTTTTCAGGCTGGTGGGGAGATCAAAGATTTCCCTCACTGGTCTCTGGGCAGTTTGTTAAGGGAGAGGGAGGAAGTGAGCTAGGACCCGGGAGCCTGCTGGATAGGAGGAGGACCTGGGAGGCTGTGACGCTGCTGTTAGCCGGCAAGTCGGAACGTTGCCGCATGTTACCGTGGCAACGCTCCGACAGAGCTGTGCTCGCGGGCAGAAAAGAGTGCCTGCAGCCGGAGAAGTTGCAGGCTTAGGTGCACGCGAAACCACTGGACCACCAGGGCTTGCAGTGATATGTTCCCTCCTGGAGGGGAGGGGGGGTGCATAAAGTTTTGTATTTTTTCTATTTTGAAGTTAAAAAAAGTATAGATTTTCTTCCTGATCCCCTCCCACCACAATATAGATCCTTGACACACACTACACCCCCTCACACACACTACACCCCCTCACACAAACACACTGCACCCCTCACACACACAGAACCCCCCCACACAAACACACTACACCCCCTCACACAAACACACAGCACCCCCACACACACAGAAGCCCTCACACAAACACACTGCACCCCCTCACACACACAGCACCCCTCACACAAACACACAGCACCCCTCTATCATACACACACACAGCATTCCTCTCTCACACACACACTGCACCCCACACACACAGAACCTCTCACACAAACACACACAGCGTTCCTCATACACTCAGCACCCCTCACACAAACACACCACACCCCCTCACACACAGCACCCCTCACACACACACACATAACCCCTCACACAAACAGCACCCCTTACATAAACACACAGCACCCCTCTCTCACGCTCACACACACACACACACACACACACATAACCCCTCACACAAACAAACTGCACCCTACACACAGAACCTCTCACACACACACAGCATCCCTCACACAAACTGCACCCCCTCACACACACGCACATCATCCCTCACACACACACAGAAACACACTGCACCCCCCCACACACTGCACCCCTCACACACTGCACCCCTCACACACAGCACCCCTCACACACACAGAACCCCTCACAAACACAGAAACCCTCACACTCTGCATCCCACACACACACACACACTCGGCACCACTCACACACTAACTCTGTGCACCTCTCACACACACACTGCTCCCCTCACACACACACACTGCATGCCACATATCGGAAGCCGCACGCCACATACACTGCAACCCTCACACACACACTCTCCAACCCTCACACACTGCACCAAACACACACTGCACCCCTCTTACACACACACACACTGCGAGTAGCAACATTATCAATACCAGCTAACATCACGTTAGGAGTGAGTTAATTAAATGTTTGACCAAATACAGCAGGCTAATTTTTAAGTTGATTATTTTGTATGGCTTGCAAATTATGTTTTAAATATCCAAATGGCCCTTGGAAGATAAAAGGTTCCCAACCCCTGCTCTAAGCTATCAGTATAAACAAACAATTAATTAAACACAGATGGCCAAGCCCTCATAAATAGACTGGTAGAGTAGTGTAGACAGCCATGTAACCCAACCAGGAGTCTATCTTCCTTGGTCAATAGGATATAAAATAGAAAAACAAAAGGGAAACTATAAAGTGTAGTAGGTCTTTAAGAGGTAAATGAAAAAAGGACATACTACACTTTATGGTTTCTCTTATACAGATTTTGTTTCAAACTCTTCTGAAGATTTGTATTAAAGGAAAAAAGCACATCTATATTCATGGCGGAGAGAGTACCGTTCAAATGCATCAATTGTTAGAGCTAATTATAGTTCTTGAAAGAGTAAGTGCATTACTCAATCACTTTATTTTTTCCTTAAACTTATCCATTTGACTGTGCTATGCTATTGGCATTCCGTCGGTTGGTTATGCTTATACCTTTCCTATACTTATAGTAAAAACCAAAGAAAAAAAAAGTTACCTGCGCTCTTTCCACATCCCTATGTATTTTTAAACAAATGGATGTTTTTAGTTACCTCCAATGGCCATGAGAGGGTATGCCCACCTGCCACGTCAAGGCAGACCTCTTAGGTGGGTCCTAACTCTAACCATTCACCTTGCTTCCTTGAGCTTCTGGCAAAAATATCTCTGGGACAGAAAGGGGGATTTATTATATATACATTCCTACATGCTTATTAACCCTCATTAGGGAACATATGGAATGGGCAGCAGGATTGGAACCTAGCTGTGTGATAGGGAAATACATAGGGATGTGGAAAGAGCGCAGGTAACTTTTTTTTTCTTTGGTTTTTACTATATATATTTTGGCTGATGTGTACTATGGTCATTGCTGCCGCCCAGGAGTAATGGGAGTTTGAGCGCAGGACTTGTTTCTTTGTATTTGTATTCACTTTTGTTTCACAAGTGGCAGGTGGGCATACCCTCTCATGGCCATTGGAGGTAACTAAAAACCTCCATTTGTTTAAAAATGCATAGGGATTTGGAAAGAGCGCAGGTAACTTTTTTTTTAATCTTTGGTTTTTACAATATGTATTTTGGCTGATGTGTCCTATGGTCATTGCTGCCGCCCAAGAGTAATGGGAGTTTGAGCGCAGGACTTGTTCCTTCCTATACTTGCCTACCGAGAACATTTGTGATTCAACTTCTATTATTTAGTAAATAAACCTGTATTGTTTCACAATTCACTGGTCCAGCATGTATTGTAATGGTTATTAACTGCTTAAGACCGGAGGGCGTACTATTACGCCCTATTTTAGGCGGCACTAAATGCCGCCGGGCGTAATAGTACGCCCTCCGGTTCTTACTTACCCGGTCGCAGGTGATCCTCCGTCCTACAGCCCCTTGGCCATGTGAGAGTGAGGTCCTTGCAAGGACCTCACAATCACATGGCCGGGATAGCTGGCTGCTGCATTGCCAGCAGGGGGGCTACCTGTAATGACAGGTAGTCTTCCTGCTGGCTGGAAATAAAATAAACTAAAGTTTTATAAGTGTTAAAAAAAAAATTATATACTTAGATCATATATATATGTTATATATATATATATGATCTAAGTATATATATATACACATATACATACACACACATACACAGTCTAGGTGTATTTTACTATATATATATATATATATATTAATATCAAATTACACGTAGACTGATACTGATTAAATATATATATAATTATTGTTATATATATATATATTTATATATAATATAAAAAAATATGTAAATATGTTAAAAAATAAAATAAAATAAATAATTAAATTAAATAAATAAAAAATATATAGATGTGTGTTATTTCGTTCTAACAGTATTGTGATATTAATATATATATATTTATATCAAAATACATGTAGAACAAAATAATATATATATCTATATACGTAAATATATATGTATATATCACTATATTTATACCTATATATAAATAAAAATATTTTTAAAAAATGATATATATATATATATATATACACATATGTATATATATACATATATTAATTCTACATATATATTTATGTAATATTTTTACATAATTAGGTATCTTAATTAATTACAATTAGTGGGACCTTCCTGACAACCCATGCCGAAAGTAAAGGGAATTTAATTTGCTAGCACTATATTTAACCCTATAACTTTCCAAGACACCATAAAACCTGTACATGGGGGGTACTGTTCTACTCGGGAGACGATATTATTGCTGTGATACTTTTTACTGTTTTGAAACACAAATATTTGTGTTCAGTGAAGTCTCCCGAGTACAACAGTACCCCTCATGTACAGGTTTTATTGTGTTTTCAAAAGTTACAGCATCAAATATAGGGCTTGTGTTTCATTTTTTTCACATTAAAATTCGCTAGATTGGTTACGTTGCCTTTGAGACCCTATGGAATGAAAATTACCCCTATGATGGCATACCATCTGCAATAGTAGACAACCCAAGGTATTGCAAACGGGGTATGTCCAGTCTTTTTTAGTAGCCACTTAGTCACAAACACTGGTCAAAATTGGCGTTTTTTGCATTTTTCACACACAAATACTAACGCTAACTTTGGCCCGTGTTTGTGACCAAATGGCTACTAAAAAAGACATACCCCATTTGCAATACCTTGGGTTGTCTACTATTGCAAATGGTATGCCATTATGGGTGTAAATTTCATTCCTGGGCTACTATACAGTCTCAAAGGCAACGTAACCAATCTGGCGAATTTCAATTTCAAATGTAACGTGTTATATTTAACCCTGTAACTTCCCAAAATGCCATAAAACCTGTGCAAAGGGGGTACTGTCTTACATGTGAGACTTTGCTGAATACAAATATGTGTATTTTATTGCAGTAAAAGCAAACAGTATTATGACATTGACAGTTAAAATGGCACGTAGAACTAAATAAAATTAAAATCTTATATTCTCCCATTTTTTTCATATTAAAGTATGTTTCATAGCTAAATATTTGATATTAAATTAAAAGCCCTGTTTCCCCTGAATAAAATGATATATAATAAGGGTGGGTGAATTTACTATGAAAGAGGTGAATTACGGTTGGACAGACATGTAGCGCAAATGCCAGGTTTTGTTTACATTTTGTTTTGTTCACAACATGTACATTTGGCTCCGTCCTTAAGGGGTTAAACCCAAAACCGAAAGACAAAAGTATAAAAAACATTCACACTTAACATTTAAAACCATTTTGACATTTAATTAAAAAAAAAAAAAAATTAAATGCAGTTAGCGCCATTGTGGCAGTGTATAAAGGTAATGTCCAGGTTTTTGTTAAGGTACAATAAGATAGATTTATGTATGAGTCCATTTCATTTTTCAAAACATACAGGGATATTCACTGAATTTTAGAGGTGAACTAAACATTTGACGTGATTTTGCACAAACTCCACAGCAGCAATGATGCAGTGTGTGGTGAAATAATTCAGGAAAAAATACCTAATATTTTTCCTTAACAACAATGGTTTTAGATAAATAATCCCTAGAAACCGTTTATGTATAAAGATTCCGTCTATACAGGTATGTTACCTGTATAAAAAGACAGTTTCAAGTGATTATTTATTGCGCCTTTGGTTTTTCTCTATATAAAATGATGTATTTTTTCATTTTGGGGGGGGATTTTTGCACTTTTGTTACCATATTAGGCTGCTTACGAATGTTAGCATGTCTTTTTCGGCACAAAATTTATTTTGTATATAACAAGTTAGTTTTTCAGAAAAATAAATTTTGGGGCACTATTAGCTCTCTTTTATTTTATAGAATAATTGTTTTAAAGCCCCTTCAAAGGATCAGAATGCTTTATATTAATAAATATACTGGCTTTTCAATTGATTTGGTTGGATACTAAACTGTTACATGGTTCCTGCGTAATAATCTGTCAAAATTAGGGATATTAATGGAATTGTCAGGGATGCAAAGAGAATTTCCGTTTTAGGTTAAATTAGCCGGAAGGAAAACATAGAAAATCACATTAGAAAATAACCCTTGGAGGTCTGAACGCTGAGCTGAGCGGATGCTGGATAGAGCTACTCCTGCTTTAATAGACGAATACTGCCATGAACGGCACTCAACCGATTCAAAAGTGCCACCAACTGAGATGTGGAATCATGGGCACATGCAGGCACCAAAGAAGCAGCTTGTCTGGCAAGACTCAACGGGGCAACATCTGCGGCCTACAAGCATGGTCGGCAGAGGGGAGGCGGCCATTCCTCCGCAGGCCGCTATGGCTGAAATCGGGAACACGGGCCTTCTCCCCCCCCCCCATGGACTGGCAGGGCTTATCACGGTCCCAGAAGATCTAATCTAGGCTGCAACCCCAAAATGGCAGTGAACGCCGCTGGGCCACCAGACACAACAAAGGGCCTGACAATCTGAAATGGCTAAATGCCATATTTGCCATCTTCAGGAGGAAACTTTAAGAACTGCAAGCCATGAAACATGCTCCAGATCAGTACTCACCACCACCGCTGCCCACACACTCCCGCCTCCACGGCACTTCCTACAGAGGGAAGCGTGCACGAAAATGGAGCCACCGAAAGTGATGCTACATGCTAGCAAGCAATCCCATGCTGATGTACACTAATGCGATCACCTTCTTACGCAAGAACAAGCCAACCCCATCTATACACACCTCCCGGCCTTTGAATGACACTAGCTCCAAGAAGAGCCTGCACCCCTTCAGGCACCGGACCGAGACAGCACTGAGAAGCCCCCAGTGGGCCCCAAGAAGCATGCCTTATCAAATACTATGCTGAGCCTGAGGATTGCCATTGGGGTACCTCAGGCCTGTCTGTACTATTATTATTATTTTTATTATTGCCATTTATATAACACCAACATATTCCGTAGCGGTTTACAATATTATAGGAGGTGGGATTAGCTATAAATAGGACAATTGCAAGAAAACTTACAGGAACGATAGGTTGAAGAGGGCCCTGCTCAAACGAGCTTACAGTCTATAGGAGGTGGGGTGTAAAACACAATAGGACAAGAAATAGCAATCAAATCAGGTGGGAGTGAAGCAGAGCTGGAGGAGAGTAGAGTGCTGCCCTTCAGGAGAGAGCAAGAGACAGGTATGTGAAGTAGAAATTACTCTCTGGGAGGCCATAAGCTTTCCTAAAAAGATGGGTTTTAAGGCACTTCTTAAACGATTGAAGACTAGGGGAGAGTCTGATGGGGGTAGGCAAATGTTCCATAGGAAGGTAGCTGCCCACGAGAAGTCCTGCAAGCGTGAGTTGGCTGTATGGGTGCATGTAGCGGACAGGAGAAGGTCCCGGGCAGAGCGGAGAGACCGAGAAGGGGCATACCTATGGATCTGTGAAGAGATATAAAAGGGGCTAGAATTGTTCAGTGCTTTATAGGTATGGGTTAACATTTTGAATTGACTCCTATAGGATAGAGGAAGCTAATGTAAGGACTGACAAAGGGGTGAGGTGTGAGAGGACCAACGAGAGAGGAATTTTCAGTCTGGCGGCAGCATTCATTACAAATTGTAGCGGGGCAATACGTTTTTTGGGAAGACCAATCAGGAGAGGGTTACAATAATCCATGCGGGAAATTACTAGAGCATGGACAAGCTCTTTGGTACCATCTTGCGTAAGAAAGGGGCGGATGCGGGCTATGTTTTTAAGATGGAATCTACAGGATTTGGTAACATGCTGGAGGTAAGGCTGCAAAAATATAAGGGTTATTTTCTTCATTTTTATTTTTTATATGTGTAAGAAATATCTGCTCTCGTTATTTTTAATCGGCAAACCTTTTTACTGGTGGTGTTTTATTTCTTTCTTTATTTGTTTTATTGTACTTACTTGTATATATAATTAGAGACTTTTTTGCGTTTTATTTTTATACCATTATTGTTATCGTATGCATCTCTTTATTTCATATACACAAGTGCCCTCAATTTATGACCCTTGTTGTTTTACAAAAAAAATTATATTGGAGTCTGTGTTAGCATCTGCAACTGACCTTATGGAGCTGTGAGTGGCATTCAGAACACATGGCGTGGAACTAAAATCTTTTTCAAATTTCCATGTGCAAGACACAACATCAAAGCCATTATATGTACAGTCCAGGTCTCCTGCAGAGATAGAAAGAAATAGAGTATTAATAACAGGAAAGAGGGGGTAATATAAACAATGAAACAGTGAATGGAGAAAGAAATAAGTTAGAGGTGTATAATAAGAGAATGTGTGTATAGAGATCAGTCTGTATTATTTTACTGATACCTAGATGAAGAAATTACCTTGGAGCTCTCTAAATATATAAGGTCTACTCCACAAATATTGTGTATAATTAACTATGTAGAAGCCTTAGTGTATTCCCTTATATATTTTGTTCCCTTATTTAATTAAATGTAAAAAAAAAATATATAAAACATATTAAAAGTGTGTGAAGACTATATTAGATTTTTGGGTCCTATTTATTTGATTAGTGCAGAGCACAAAACATGTATGACTGAGCAGGGCTGGACTTACCCTCCTTGCTTCCCTCGAGGTCAGTTTCCTCAATGCACTATATATATATATAAAAATGGCTTTAATAGAAGGCTGCACTCATGGATTCCATAAAATATAACTTTTAATCAGTCTTGTTAAAAAAATCAATCAACGTTTCAGTCCTACTTGAGGACTTTCATCAGGATAATTAACGTTTCAGTCCTACTTGAGGACTTTCATCAGGATAAGCCTAGTAGGACTGAAACGTTGATTGATTTTTTTTAACAAGACTGATTAAAAGTTATATTTTATGGAATCCGTGAGTGCAGCCTTCTATTACAGCCATTTGAATGTTTGGAGCCCTGGTAGTGCACCCGGTCTTGGGAGTTGGAGTCTGAGTGCAAGGTATAGTTGTTTCTTTTATTTATATATATATATATATATATATATATATATATATTTTTTTTTTTAAATGTGACTAGGTGGGCGGATGGATGATAAGTGGGAGAGGGAGAGGCCTGGGAGAGGGAGTTTGTTTCTGTGTGTGGAGGCTGCTTGTGGTGTTGTTTGCGTGTGGGAATATTTTGTTAGGGTTTTGTGTATGGGAGCTACTTCTTCTGTTGCATATGGTGCTGTTGTGGGGGAACAGGGGTTTTAGTGGGGAGGGTAGTGGCTGTAGTGAGTGATAGGGGCTGTAATAGAGTGATGCTGTCTGCTGTGGGGGTGGTAGCGTCTGTTGTGGGGGAATAGTGGCTAATGTTGGGAGCATGTGGCAATAGTGGCTGTAGTAGGAGGATAGTGACTATTGTGAAGTGGATAGTGCTTTAATTAGTGGTAGTGGCTGTAGTGGGGGATAGGCTCTGTGTTGGGGGATAGGGGATGTCTGGAGATGTGTGTATCTGTACTTCTGTGTGTCTGGGAGTTCATCTGTTTCTCTGTACATGTGTGTCTGTGAATCTTTGTTTATCTGGCAGTGTGTGTCTATGTGCATGTCTGTGGGTGTGTGTCTATAAATGCATATCTGCCTATGTGTACCTGGGTGAAAATATCCATCTGTGTGAGTGTGAATGAGTGTGCATATCTGCTTGTGTTTAGGAATTTATGTGTCTATGTTAGTACGTTTATGTTTGTGTCTTAGAGTATGCATCAGATTCAAACAAAGATTTTGTAACGGCTCCCATTATTTCTGCTGGCAGTCCTGGCTGCTGTAGTTTCCTTGCACACAGGAGGTTGGCCTTTATTGCACAGGAAGTGTACCAGTTGGCTCATCAGGTAAAATAACTTTATAAATGGACAGCTGCTAGCAGTTTTTCTAGGTTAAGCTATGAATTAAATTAGAAACACTAGACATGTCATGAAAGAGTTGCCATGGTGCAATAGTATCAGGAATTTATTTTTTAATAATGCCAGATAAGTTGGACTTCGCAATAATAAATGAATAAAAAAACAAGCACCTTAGTTCTGTTGCATTAACTCTTGTCTTCACGTTTAAAGATGAAGTAAAAATAGCGTAGATTTTAGATTCCAATGGAGAACAGTAAAATGAAAATCATTTGTGCAGCTCAGTTCACTTGCATGAATACTTTTCATTCATTAACTGCAATTTATGCACTTTCCCTCTAATTGTCCTCTCCACCCATTTTAACTTTGACATTTAATTTTAAATGTAAAAAAATCCATTACCTGTCTATTTCATCCTAAATATTACTATCCCACTATCAAATTACCACAATCCATGTATTTGCTTCTATTTGTTTCTATTTGTTTCTATAAGACATTAGTGAATACCTGATGCCATTGAACATGCACTTTTCCTGACACCCTACATTCCATTCGGTTCACGCTGCCCCTACTTTCTGGAACTCTTTACCGTGCACAATCAGAGAGGCACCATCCTTAAAGACTTAAAAAAAAAAGACCCACCTCTTCCATCAAACATTCAGTCCGCTCAGCTGACCTTCAGAAACTCCTAACTTTTATGTCTTTATGTTTGTATATTTGTAAAGTGCTTTGAGTCTCACAGGGAGAAAAGCGCTATAAAAATTGCAAATTATTATATTCGTATTATTATCCCGTAAAGAGTAAATGGCGTAGGGATTGGTTGAGAGATCTAAGTCAGTTCCTGGTTGAATTTGACATCATTTGAAGAGTATTATGATGCAGGACTTTGTTGTAAAAAGAGCAGTATTTGCACAATTTGGAGAAATTACCCATATTAATCAATGCCTTTTTAAACAGTGGTATCCAAACTAAGGAGAACTGAGATTAGAAAACACTGAAGCCAAAGACTTTAGAAGGGATGATAACATAAAATAATTTTATGGAAGATAATCCATTGCATGTTGATACCTAATAATTATTTTATTTCTGACACTGCTTATTTTAACAATTAATATTTTTGTATAAGCTTTTCAAATGATTTAATATGTTTGTATAAACGTTTAAATGGTTTGTTCAAAATTTTAAACTATCAAAAAGAATATCAATATATAAAAATATTATATAATATAAAGATATTTTTCAAAATATTAAATCAATTGAAAGGCTTATCCAAAATCTTAAGTCAAGTCCATAATAAGTTATACAGAGGAGAATCAGTCTGATTGAGCAAGACAGTGACAAACTGATTGGCATTACATACATCCCTGTAAGGTGTGGGTGGCTGTATTTAGAGTGTTGATATCATATAGTTTCATGGGAAACCATGAGGTCATCAAGGCTATGGGACTCATTAAGCAGTGTTTATATTCTGAAACACCATCCAACTTACGATCTTTTACAAAACCATAGTATTGTTTGTGTTTAGACTCATATGTTCATGATATGATCTTGTTACATTATTACACACCTGTGCTTCTAAAGTAATTCTTTCTGTTCTTTATTAATTAAAATAACAATATCATCATTTTAAGTAGTCCAGTATTTTGCAGAATTAAACCTTTTTTAATTCTCTTAAATCGTGTCATTTCCTTTACTTACCATTACGATTTCTATACTGTTAGATTACGGAATTTTTTTTTTTCATGTTTTGGTGCAAAAAATATATGTATAATCAGAGTACGTGGGACTAAAGTATTTCTACACTGTATTACCCAAAACATAGAGTTATAATTGTTCCTGAATGTTTTAGTTGGTGGGATTGGCTGAAAGTCTCAGCAGCTTACCGTGTAAACAGGTTTAATAATTGCTCCAAACACAATAGTTTAAGTTGCTCATTCCAAAAGGAGCGCTATAGTCAATCAGACCACTTCATTTTAATGAAGTGATCTGGGTGCAGTGGTCATGTACCCTTAATTCTACAATGTAAAACATTGCAGTTTTTTTAGAAACGGCAATGTTTACATTGGAAGGTTAAGTCCTCATCTAGTTGCTGTCAGTAAAACAAAGTCAAGTCACGCAGAAGCCTCATAGGAAAGCATTGATTCAATGAAAAAGGTTGAATCTGTGCGGCACTCACCATGCATGCTCTTTAGGTTGCCTATGAGGAGCATTGGATTGGACCATACCAGAGGAGGCCATGCCTCTTCGGTGACGGCTCCTGGGGAGGAGAGGTCAGCAGTGCCGAGGGATCCTCAGTGCTGGAAATAGTTAAGTAAAACTCATTTTTTTCTAAATGGGGGGGATCTATTTAGAGCTAGGGAGACGGTCATGGTAGTGTTTGGAATGCAAGTTTGTATTCTAACACTATAGTGTTCCTTTAAGGCCAGTCCTGCCAGGAGATGTAAAGCCTACTTAATCTCACCAGCCCCAGCACGTCATTTCTGCCTGTTAAGAATCTTTCTTAATCACTGTTTTTGCTTTTTTTAATCACAGGTTGAATTACAGAACTGCTTATCAATCCTGTGCACATACATCATTGACATGCCCCTTCTCTTCTGCCTCCTTCCATAATAATCACATACCCTCCAATGAGAATGTTTTTAGGCTTGTTGCAATTACCAACAAGCGGGTAAAATGGCTGTTGGTGAAATTAGTAACTCATGGATTTCTCCATGTTACATAAGGTCACTGTTATCATTAATAGTAGATGGCATTAAAGGGTTACTCCAACCCTTATAATTTTTGTATTACTTTTATTAATGCTCTCTTGAGTATGATTCTTTTGGTCCTTCCGCCCCATAATGCTTGAAAAATGCAGTAAAATAAGTTTTACTTACCTGCAATCCAGCGCCATGCAAAACTCCTGTTGTCGCTCCTGCTTCCTACCATTGTACAGTCCGATTAAAGTCTTCTCAGACTTGTTGAATATGCTTGTTGATCAGGTAAGGGTTGGGAAGAGTGAGTGGGTAAGGAATCTAAAAAATAACTAAACCGTGCTGATAGGTTAGTAGGAGGGCTGCTGGGAGGGCTGCAAGGAGAGATGGAGGGGAGACATAAGACTTCAATCAGATTACGCCTGTCACATAAATTAACATTTGGCAGTCCAGAACAGGGTTTCTGGCTACCAAAGTGTTCTGTGACGTGGGGTGTAACTAGCTTCTGGCAAAGTATTCTGAAACACTGCACTGCCAAATTTCTTGGCCATGGACTTTGGAGAAACCCTTTAAGCTTTAACGTAGTAAAATAAATACTCAGAAGATTGACTCTCTCTGGACTTTTAAAGTAAGTATAAAATGTAGCATTTATCTAAAATCTAAAAGTATATAGAAACACCGCAATGACCACAAACATCGTGTAAACATTAAAGGCCAATAAGTGCAAACATAGGATGTCCATCACCTTACATGTTTAATACTTAGCTCTTATTCATAGGTTTACCATAGTAGTTCTCAGTAACACTAGGTTTCGATTCTAGATCTTAAAAATTACCAACAAGTTTGAAGCAGTCCCTAACTTACGCAAATTTATACATAGTTCAGCTTGGCTTAAAGCCGAAAAAAGTTAATTGCAAACTTTCAATTCATCCTATGGAATAAAAGAAAGACATGTATTCCATACATTTAAGAATCATCCATAAGAATATTGTAAGTAGTTATGAATTAACTGTCAAATGTCAAAAGTCCTTTGAATGGAAACACTACTGGGTTTAATCCCAAAAGAGCAAATTGTACTGAACTGAAAAACAAAGTGTTATGCATAAAATTTACGACAATTCACTGTTTAGTAAATAAACCCCAATGAGTAACTTGTACGGTGGAGCTGTTGTGACAAGTAATTAGAAGATGTTCCTTCTTTGAGCACCCTGCAAAATAATAAGCACTAACTGGTGGTGTTAATGGACAGAGAACTAAGCAATGTGCAGATTACAAAACACAAAAACCCTTCTGTATTTTTTATTTACATATATGTGTTGATCTCAATGTTAAAGATGCTTACATAGATCAATATCTGTCTTTTATTGATGATCATGGAAAAGGCCCTTTGTTGGGCAGTATAGATTTCTCTCCTCGCTTGTTAAAGATATGTCATTACTATTATACATGAAATACAGGTATAAAAAAAAAAATTCACAATTACAACCAGGTTTGTTATTTTGTAAAAAAAAAAAAAGAAAAAGATCAATACAAAATATTGTGAGGTTAATATATATTTCAGCAACTTCAAAATTGCAATAATATAGCGATTGGGGAAAATGAAATAGACACTGCTCTGCAAATAGCCAGAATGGCATCTAAAACATCGCTATCGATCTTAAAGCAACTTTGCAGTTAGTATAAATTACATTAAAACCTGTAGAACATTCTACTTTATTTGTGATCGTCCTTTGCAGTAAATGAAAAAGTTAATGTTGTGGATAATTACCAAGAACTGCTGTCTGCAAAAACACAAATATCAGCACATAGTTTTTCGGGAAGTATCTGTTGCCTGACATACTGCTCCGTCACTTTAATTCTGGGGAAAAATACAATTTAAGTTAGTTACCAAGTAGAGCTAAAGGAGAATTGAAGATGAGAAGAAACCAGATTTTAGACCAGAGTTAGGCAGTTTTGACACTCCAGATGTTGTGGACTACATCTTTCATAATGCTCTTACAGACATAATGCTGGCAAAGCATCATGGGTGATGTAGTTCACAACATCTGGAGTAATGAAGGTTTCCTACCCTGGGTTAAGTTATTGGAGTGCTAGAGGGGGGAAAAAAAGGTTGAAGAAGTTGAGAGCGCAATTATATAGTGAGTGCTGGGTGCTTTATGGGAAAATCTGTTCCCCCACCAGATCCATTCACATTTTAGAGAATAACCCAAAGCACACCCGATTAAACTTGCAGTTTTAGATTTTAGTTAATTAATGATTTGATAAAAATTGTACAAATAAAGTGCAAACAGCAATATAGGCATGTAAACAGAAAATTACATACCTACATACATAACAAATACAAAATAAGTGCTCAGTTAATAAACCCACAAACCCATAACAATATAGGCATACTAACCCAGAGCAGGAGATACAGCAACTCCAACATTCTGGCGTCTAACCTTCCTCTAGGTGGATCTTTAAGATCATTAAGATCCCCCTTGAGGAAGACTAGATGCCGAAACGCTTATCCAGTTGGCAGCCTTGGATTTTTTTTACTGGCTTTGGGGTGTCCTAAAAGTACCTGGCAATTTGCTTCTTAGAAATAATCTAATGTATTCTTTTTTTTTTTTTCTTCTTTTATCTGAGAGACTTTGCAAGTATCTTCCAAGCATTCAAGCCAAACATGTAATGCTTAATAACATTAAATTAATGCTATGGCAGTTTAAATAAAACACACTTAATATGTAAGTGATTGTTGTGTTATATATATTGCATTTATATGACCTTTTCCACTAATAGCAAAATGTTAATTGGAAAAAATTATGACAAATAATATAGAACAAAAGTAAGATATAATGGAAAACAATTGCAAGTTGTAATAAAATGTCATTTATTAAAGGATTTTCCTTAAAGCACATTTTAATAATCAATATTCGTAACTCTTTCTACAGTAGCTCTGTTATGTTGATTGTTTTTACAGCAAACTCTGGATTGTGTTAACAATAGTTACTGCGTTAGACTTTGAAAAAAGTTGTCATGGCTAAAATATTGAATGCTTTATAACGCTAAATAATTGCATTGATATTAAACCAGCATTTACACCGATATGTCATTGACCAATTATGAGTATATAATAAATACTGTGAACACCTCGATACATGGTTGTCAGCTTTAAAATAAATTTAAATAGGATCCACTGAACCATTTATCCTTGGATCTGTTAACATGGCTGAGCATGGAAACATATAGTCTGGGTCCATTACCCTGCTTGAGCCAATATAATGCAACCATATGCTTAGTAAGATTCATTTTCAGTGAATTTGTACTATTTAGTCCCTACAGTAACATTAGTTATGATACAAAATATTGCAGAACACCAACACACACATCAGGCTAAAATGGCAGTTCTTGAGATACACAGCTAAGTTTGAGAATCAATTTCAACTTTTGGTCTAAAATTTGGAATACCTTATTCAGGGAATAACCCTATATATGTTTCCTACTACTCATACACTTCTCTGCTTAGCTGTCCTTTTAAATATAACCTTCTGCTCTCACATAGCTAACCACACAGATTACAAAAACATATTTCATTACTCTACATACACCCACCTGTTTCTTGTAAACCTTGTCTCATAATATATTACCATTCACATATCCCCCCTCTAAGCACACTTACATTGTCTCCTGATACGCTGCACTTCGCATACATGTCTACCTAACCATTGTTCTTTCTAAAATACTTACCTTTTCCACATCCTTGGAGCTGTAATTCTTGCATATTTTTTCTTTTTAAACTAAGGAACATAAATATCTTCTGCCCTCCCGCCATCTGCCCTACGCTAAAATCTTAGATCACACTTTCCCTATTGATATTTCTTTGCGTATTTTATTCCCCTAAAGTTTTGAGTATGTTCCATTTATTACAAACTGTGTAATTAATGGAATATACTCAAAGCATCTCTTAGAATGTCCTAGTTTACTCACAGGTATTAATATAATACTGATTTATTTAATTCCATACCTCAATCATGACACATCACAATCTGATTTTAAGTCAATGCTATCTCAATGCTTGCGTCCCTCTAATTCTCTCTCACCTGTCCTCTCTCTCACTGTTTGTTCATTCTCTGATATGTTCTGCTCACTATTGTCCGGGAGTCATGTCCTCACACATGAGGACTACATCTATAAATGTTTAAAGTTGAACAGGAAATTGTGGGGAGAGGAGGTGGCTACAGAAGATCTGAATGTCAGCGACACAAGAGTTTTTGTATGACGTGGTATTTCTTTGCTTTTTTTCTCATTTGAAAGAAAATGTATTCTTCTAGAGTTCTTAGAGCATATATTTAAATATTGTCTCAAACAGGTCTGCCTTATTTTAGTTAGTAATCTGGGGCACATCAAGATATAACACTGGATTATGCCACCACTATTCCACTCATTGGTAAATATATAGCATTGATCAAAGTGGTCAACACCTGTATTGATTACTGTGACACTGGTAAAACTAAACATATCAGTATAGACATCATCACTTTAGCTAGAGTGTTCAGAGTCTGTAAGAAGGCTGTAGCCAAAGTAAGAATTATTCGCTTGCAAACATATAACTATTTGCTTTCATTGAAGCAGAAACAAAACTTGAAATTGTGAATGTTCTTTTCAAAGTAGGTTGAAGACTAATGACCTGGAATGTTAACTGTAGGATTATGCTTAGTTGAAGGAACACTATAGTGTCAGGAATATAAACGTGTATTCCTGACACTATAGGTCTAAATAGCTGTTTAGGTCCCTGGCCCCCCTTAACTTCAGTTAAAAAGGTAATTTACTCAGCGTTTTCCATCGCCACGCTGGTCTGGTCATGGCTGGCCCATCCACTCTCTGCCCCTTGGCTAAAATCATCAATTTTAACAATCTCAGGCAATCCAATGGTTTCTCAAAAGCATTGGGAGGATATTGCGCATGCGCCAATCAGCATCTATTCATAGAATTGCATTGACTCAATGCGTCTCTATGGGGAAAGTTCAGGGCCTCTATGCAGAGCGTGGAGATGCTGAAGGTCAGTGCTGCAAATTGTGCAGCACTGACCCAAGGGGCACCTCTAGTAGCCGTCTCAGTGACTTCCATTGGAGGTGTCCCTAGGCAGCAAGGTAAACACTGCATTTTCTCTGAAAGACAGTGTTTACATTAAAATACCTGCAGGGACAGGCTGTAGACACCACAACAACTACATTCAGCAGTAGTTGTTCTGGTGACTATAGTGTTCCTTTAAATTTTTACCTTAAAGAGGGTTTTATCAAAGGGTTGGGATATGAAAAGTAGTGCAAAGTTGTAAAAGTGGAGCATTCACAAATTGAATGTTCCTGCTAAATCCAGGAGTTTCCATGGTGCCTGCCTCACTTTTGGAACTTTTCAGACCACAACACTCTAATCCTACAGTACTCATATCTAATTGCTTCTGTGTGTTCTACCTGAGATCGGTGAGAATCGCATGCCTTAATCAGCCTTGATCAGGTGTGGACAGGAAGTAGCTGCTACAGAACTACAAATCCCACTATGCGTTACCTAGCATCATGGCTGTTAAAGCAACATGAGAACTGTCGTTCTGCAACAGCTGGTAGTCCGTATAATAGAGGATGGAGATAAAAACATGGAAGGGTTGTGAGAAATGTATGAACGCTCCCAAATGGCTGCAAATGATTCCTGAATTCAGGTGTCAGTGGTATTAACTCATCCATGTGGATAGGAAACATGCATTTCTGATCATTGTCAGCACACCTGATACCAGTGGCTACAGTTAAATTACATAATTATTGTTATTTATATTGTGCCACATGTTGCAGTGATACATACACTAAGTGAAAAGTGCATCTAAAGCTATATTGACAGACCGGTACATATAGAGCTAGTTTGATAAACAGATACATATAGGTTCATTCAGATGTTATATGTTATGATGTCATATGATTTAACAGCCAACCTGAGAGTTTGATAAATATTCAACTCTTAAACTAAACTAGACTAAAAGCTAAATATAGCATGAAGGGTCTTACAGTCATTGAAGTGCTAGAACTCTGTTACTGTTGAATATAGCCCCAACATATATGACCTATAGAGGAACATGATGAAAAAAAAACATTTGCATAATCTTTTAATTTCTGCATGTCCCTTTTTTACAGCCTACAATTAATTATTTACAAACTGAACGTTCCTTCTGATGCACACTGCCTCAGGCCTGCTAATTATATCGTTCCCTTATATTGTGTCAAATTGTGCATGAACTGACAAGGGATTGGTCCTTAGCAACCTGGTTGCCAGAGAAACATCAAAAGTTTCATAAATATTTGTAATTGCATTATATGATTAACAGACTTGAGGAAATAAATAAAAAAACAACAACAATCTCACTAGCATTCCTCCTAATGATTTTATTTATGAGCTCCATAAAACCCCAAAAAATTTAAATGTGATTTGTTTCTGCATTTATTAATACAATATACATGTAATATATATACTAAAAATAAGCATAAATAAATAATATAGCAGGCCATAGTTCCGAAATGCCATTTCTCAGATTTGTGCAAAATGTGGGATAGTAACATGCAGGCTTTAGATACAAATGAACAAAAGTGCATATATGGGAAAACAATCTGATATAGCAAACAGAGTGCTTACAATAGTGTAAAGAGTGAGGCAAGCGTAAACCTTCTTGATTTACAGAAAACTCAAGCGTAGATGAAACATAAAAGAGAACAAAAATACAAATATAGTGTAAATGGTACCAAAGAACAATAATAATATACACTACATTTGTATTTTTGTTCTCTTTTTTTGTTTAATCTATGCTTGAGTTTTGTGTAAAATTAAGAAGGGGTAGTAGGCTTACTCCCCTGTTTACACTATTGTAAGCACTCAACTTTTTTGCCATATCAGATTGTTTTCACTTGTATACACTTTTATTTGTTTTTATCATATTTGGTAAAGAAAGGAGATTACTCACTCACGTATGTTTTGAGCCGCATTTGATCGGATTTGTAATAAATTTTAAACAAATCAATCATATTAACAAAACAGAAGATCTGGATAACATAAAAAATTAAATGTACATGAACAATAAATTCCAGCCTACAACGAGACAGGCAAAACAAATAGCACAGAAAGGAGTCAAAGTGAGTATAGGTGAAAAGAAGAAGCTAATAAAATCCCCCCAAGAAAACAAGGGAGGGAAAACTCGTTGGAAAAATTCTGGCTCCTGTCATTATTAAAATTAAGATTATTAGTACACTAAAGCTAGCATATTTTACGGTGTAATACCCCAACACGCAGCAAGGGATAGTAAGTGACAAGACAAGGATATAACGTATTACTAGACCTTAGAATAGCCGGACTAAACGTTAGACAGAGATAAAGTGAAGTCAGACACGAGCCAAGGTTAGGGTAATGGAGAGACAGTGAAAACAAGAAAAGCTGACGAATGTAAAGCCTGTTATTAGGGGGCCAATACCGCAAAAAATTGAGAACATTACTAAAGTCCCAAAGCCTATAGTATTTAGGGTCCGGTGGATGTCTGAGATGCATCCCCAGCAGCAAAAAACAAACAAAGGAGTCCTTGTTAACCAAAACTTCCCGAAATGGAATGTGAGCCCCCAAAATAGCTGAACGAATAATGTAAATAGACCGATAGGACCGGCCAAAAGAAAAAAGAAACAAAATTTAAAATATGTATAGGTGCAGTAAATAGATTGTGGTTCCGTTCCATGGATGGCTCCTCCATAATGGAGTGATCAGCTTCAAGGACACCCGTTGACTCCGGATACGATGGGGTCTCCTCGTGATCATTGTGAACGGTAGAAAGGGGTAGGCGCCCTATGCTGGCCAACTCTGTAGGAAGCGTCCGCTGCCTTGCACTCCGGGTCTGGCAGCCAACTGAAGATCCAAGACGGGAGATCCAAGATGGTCGCCACCTGAGAAGGCTGCAAGGAGCCATGGGCTGGCTGGTGCCGAGCACCATAAGCGGGCGCGGCAGTGAGGGAGGCCACAGACGGATGAGGTCAAGGGTAAACCCAGTGGGAAAGGGAAAAAATGCTGAAAAATACCAGAAAATAGGCCCAAAAGAAACACCAACCGCCTCAACACACAGAGCAGGCCAGGGGGGAACAGGGAGACCCAGAGCAACAAGCAAACGGTAAGAAGGGAAAGTGCAGTAAGATGCAGTAAAAGATGGTTGACACAATAAACAGAAAAGGTAAAAAGTAAACAAGAAAGGACAGAATAGACAGTAAATGTTGATAAACCATAAAACCAGATAGCTAACGAACCATAATAATGAGCATTATACAATAATAGTGAAGAGCCAAAAACTCTAACCTGTCTGCTGATGGAGACCTGTCTATATGTTTTCTTTGCCACTGTGGAGCTAGTAACGAGAGTTTATGCAAAATAGGAAGCCTCCTGTCATGTTGTAAAATTGTCCCCCTGCCCTGGTGCAACTCTGTCTGGGGACTTAATTGCATTAACCCAAGCTTCCACAAATGGCTCCATGTGGTGCTCTCTTAGTTATAGAGGCCCAATAAATGTCCCCAAAACTCCCCCCACATAATATATATCCATGGAGAGCATGTCACCAAGTGCCCTCGCTGTCCAAATAATGCCCTGATAAGCGAATCCGTGCCTGAATTACAGCATGTTAAATTTCTTCCGGGTCACGACTATTCTTTAATCCATCATGGATGTGTATCAGTTTAGTCCTGGTCTACAAAAAGGCATTCCTGGACCTCTAGGGAGGGGAGGTCTCCAATGTCTTTTGCCCCAACCGCCCTCGCGAATCCAGTGATATCTACTTAAACATTGACTGAAATTCAGCACTTTCCATCTGAAGAATTCTTCCAGAGTGTTTCAGGGTGTCTCTCAGTCAAGTTCCTAATGTGTAAAACAAGTCCAGGTGATCCCCAGAGGTCCTCCAGTGGGACAGTAAGCGTCTCAGGCCCCAACAACCCAGTGACAATTGTCCCTTTTAGGGATTTGGGCAGAATGCTGGCCTTAAAGCCTCTCCAAACATTTGTGGCACAACAACTTCCATCACAGAGGGACCCTATCCTTTTAAATATTTGATATTCTCAAATAAATGTTTTGCTCAAATCCAAGATTTTATAGACTTAGATACTTCTAGACCATATACATATACAACACTTCAATCAAAAGATTCAACTAACATACCTAACAGTCATCCTTTATGTTACATACTATTGACTTCAAAGCAGTGAAATGTCCTAACTTGTATTTGACCAAGGAGAACATTTACCCTGTTTACAACCGTATTGCCATTGATAAATGGCCAACTGCTTCTTGTCACCGTACCTATTGCTATTGTTAGTCAGTAGCAGCTGTTTCCCAACTGCAAAATGTAACAAGTAGCTACAGAGCATTACCACCTGCTGCTACGCCATCAAACCTAACATCAGCCATTGGTCTGGTGTAAAGAGTTTTATCTCTATGCAGCAAAATCCCTATTCAACCTGGGGTAGGTGCATGTTTTCTGGGGGCGGTGCTTGGCTGCGATGTCAAAAACATGCAAGCAGTGTAAGTTCCTCACTTAAATTGTCCTAACTTTTAAAACCATAACATTACGGCTGATTTATCGCCTCCTGCGTATACCTAGTAGTGTCCAGGAGTCACTGGGCACTTTGTCAGTGCAATTCTTTTGTTCACAACTGTGGAGATCCGATCTTCCTGAATTGTGGCCTAGAGTGGACAAGACTGCAATGCCAGCCGATCTTCTTGTTTGGATTTCACTAGCTGGACTGTGAGCGGGTCCCGTACCCACCTTTATCCTGGTCCCTACCACAACAGGACCTAATACTTATCTATATCCTAGGCATATCCACATCTTGTACTGGTACATCATCATTCTAGCCTTATGATGGGGGAGGATTGCGCAACACCACAGATATTGGTGATGAATTCTCTGCGGAGCTGGAGGGAGGCCAATCAAATGTTAGAGCAATCAGCAATATCTGTCATTGTATTCACACATGGACCCTGCAAGCTGCTTCACCTTCTGAGAAATTAGACCCTAATGGCACCACGGTCTGTTTCTAGCATTCTGGGCCTGGAATCCAGAAGCATCCTCACTTCGTACTTCATCCACACACTTGGGAGAATTCCCAATAACAGGGAATCAATCTGGGTTCTGAACTGGCCACCATGAGTACAAGGGTCAGTGGACACAGTGTCAAGATTCTCTCCGAGGCCTGGAGATGGATATAGAACACGCTTTGCCGGACTGCATTTATAGTCTTGCACAGAGGTATTTCCCACCAAAGACATTGGCTAACTCTGTCTAACAAATGACATTGACTACATATTTAATTTGAGGCTGTAGCAGACTCTATTCCCTTGTGTTCGGTTGTCCGTCTCCCAAATGACTGGTGTGTGTTCTGCCTTGTTATGCCCCAGTGAACACCGACCTCCCCTGAATGTTAACCACAAATTAACAACGTCACACATTAAGTCGAGTGCTTTCCCTGGGTGGCCCCGATTGGTATAACCGAACGCACATGGTCCAGTGCATGGTGGCCATTTTGCCTCCCAAACACAGGCAGCGGTACCTGGTCGTCGAACGCCTGGAACTATTTTCGGCCTCGCATCTCCACGAACCCGAGCAAAGATGGTACCGCTGACTGTCCTACTTCCCGACCAACTAGACTAATGGTGTTCGGGAAATATGATCTACCGAACAGAAGGAGCATTAGCTCCACAGCAGCCAGTGAGAGCATTTGTCAGTGTTCTCACAGGAACCCCCTAAAGCCAACCTGTCATCCTGCCCAATCCCCTGGAACTGTTTTGGGCTATCCCCTCATTGCCGGTTGGTCAAAACTTTAGTCGAGCAGAACTTTCGTTCTACCAAACCGATCTAAGTGCTTTTTGGAGATGTTCTGCTCTCAGATCAGGGCTCTTCAGAAATATGTGGGGTTCCTGTATTCTTTTCATGTATTTTTGGGGTATGTTAAAAATTTATGTAAGTTTCTGTATTTGAGAGATAATTGAGTTATCTTAATTTGAGCTTAATTATCTTTCAAACACAAAGGCTCTTGAGAAAGAAACTCTTGGATTCTTGATGTGGAAACCCCATGCTAGGGGCAATGCATAAAAGCCGTGTGGGGCAAAAATAAAGTCAGTTGTACTCCCAGAACTGTGTTTCGTCCAGTTACTGGGTAGGAGGAGGTGGGCTATTTACTTGGTAATATCTTGTTCCTGATACTACTCTTGGTGATCCAGTGGAAGAAAGTCCTTGCCAGGACTAGGGCTCTGCTACATAGGCATTTTGTGTTTACTTTTGCTTCCACGGCTACAGTTTCTCTCCTATTGTTTTACAAAGCCTTATTTTGATATAGATATGCCAAGAGCTTATTATGGGTATTGACTCTGTCTATGGAGTTCATGCTGGGGTAGTGGTCCTCCTGCTCACCTGAACTGTTCGAAATATAGCTATACATCTTTTATTTTTTGCATGTAAGCCTTATTACCTATAGCTATATGTTTTATTAAATGTTCATAATTTTTAATTTTAAAATGAGACCTTCTAGATTCCTGTGTGATATATTATGTATCATCGATAACTCATGTACAATAGTATATTGGTGTAAACACATTAAAGCTTTGGATTTGTACTGATAGTATTATCTAACTTTGCATGTTTATGTCTGGTATTGTCGCCATTGTGCCATAATGTTTTCAGATTTGTTTCTCAATAAAAACATTGATTGACAAAAAAGCATTTTTCTAATCCTGTTGCTAAATGTTGCAGGCCAACTGCTACTTACTTGTTGCCCCTTGCCACAGGGGATTAAGTGCACATGCTCAGGTGTTTGTGTCTGTGGCAGCAGCCATTATTAGCAATAGGCTACATAAATTTATTAACTAAGTTATGTTACAAGAATATTAAAAATAAATTCAGACCCAACCCATTACATTATTTGTCCCTTGGAGTTGTTGCAACTTCAACATTGCTCATCTTGCAATGCAGCCGGGATTTCTTCAATCATATCTTATCACCATCAGCCATGCACTGGATGGAGTGGCAAATAGTTCTCCCATCCGCATACCCAAGCACTACACATGTCTAAGTGAAGGGAAAAGACAGCAATTGGTTTATTGAGGAAAACACAGGGTATGAATAGAGCACAATGTTTACATAACATGGAGGGATTTGAAGAGACAATGACAAGAATTATGGACCATATTAAAGACTTAAGGGGAGGACAGGGTAACCAGTGTAAACCACCTGGAAGTCCTTTCTGGAGTAATATAGCAACATCATACAGGTAAAATAATGGTAAAGGGACACACCAAATAGACACTCGATGCATTTTAACTAAAGTCCAGCTACATAAATTATTTTAATCCTGATGGTTATCCATAATACTAGTGGTCACAGAGTTCAGTTTCAGTGAAAATATAGGGTCCCTATGAAGGAGGTTGGCCTCCAGGTTACTCCAGATATCCTGAGTCACAGTTAAGCAAAAATTGAGTAGGATAGGTTTACAAGTCTTCCTAGGAACCTCCTTAAAGATCACTGATAATATTTTGATGGAGTAACTTGAGAAAGTTCCAGTTGAATTGTAGAAGTACAATTAGGTTGATGTGTTTTAATATACTGTTCCAGATTTTAATTGACACTAAATACTTCTCAAACTTACGCTGCTTGCTGACTTTGCCATAGGCCTAAATATACCACATTAGGCAAAGTTCCAAAAAACAGAATATTGAGTGTTTCCTCTGGAGAAGACTACACTCCTAACAATATTACTTCTCCAAATGCTGTTGACCATGTGTTTTAAGCTCTTTCTGTGGATGACACAGTGTCCCCTAACAACATAAGTGTGATTTAGTGCCCTTGTTACAATGTGATTAAGTTTTATGCACTTTTTGCAAATTGCTCTTTTTATAACACTTGTTTGCACTTAATAAATATATTGGTTTTAAAGACACAGCACACCTGTATATTTATTTTTATTTTATTTTTTACAATATCAGGTACAGACCACTTTAAGAGCACCCTTGCGGTTCTGGCTGGCTGTGATGCTCTGAGTAATTGAGAAGCACAAGGGGGACCCCTGGGCTCTCTTAAAGTGGTCAGTACTTGATATTGATACAGACCACAATGCTCCCTCAGTGAACTAAGGGAGTGCATGGCTATAGGGAGATCTTTTGAACTCCCTGTTGTCTCAAGGCGGGTCCACTCAGAGCCAGAGCTTCAGGACCAGACAGGGTCATTTGACTCTGATCAGGACCAGTGCAAGGATTTTTGACACCATAGGCGAAAAAATGCTTGCTGCCCCATTCCTTCCACCCACCCATGCAGCCTTACATACACTGACCCATACAGACACACACTGACCCACACACATACGCTCACACTGACCCCCCCTTCACTCACACACTGACCCATGCAGACACACACTCATAAAGACACAAACACTGACCCATGCAGACACACGCTGACCTATACTCACAGAGACCCATACACGCACACACACTGACCCATGCAGACACATGTTGACCCATACACAGACCGATACACACACACTAACCCATACACAGACAATGACCAATGAAGACACACACTGACCCATGCAGACACACAGAAACCCATACACACACACACACACACCCATAAATACACACACACACACACACACACACAGACCCACACATACACACATACATACACACATACACACACACACACACACACACACACAGTCTCATACATACAAACACAGACCCAAGCAGACTGACACACACAAACATACTAACTGAAACATACTGACACACATTCTGTGAAACACACTGTGTATTCTCTCTTACCTTCATTGCACTTTGCTCTTCATTCCTACCTGTTTTACTGTGCCCGGCGGCCGACACTTTTTTCTCAAGCCCCATTTCCTGTTATTCTCCTTCCCCCTTGTCCCCACGTACAGGGCAAAGGGGCAGGAGCGAGTGAATGACACGCCCTTGCACTGCCGCGGTGCTTGACTGGGAGAGGGGTCCTGACTATGCAGGCTGTGGTAAATGCCGGACCGATGTTCTACCGGGCACTAGTCTACAAGTAAGTTTTCCCTAGTGCCTGGTTATGCGGCCGCCGCGGCCCGCTATATATAATCAATCCCACTTGATAGGGGGGCGGCCAGACAAGCTGTAAAGCCACTGCAGACGCCCCTCCCCCCCCAAATAGGCGCCCTAGGCGGCCACCTACTTAGCCTATAGGACGCACCTCACCTGACTCTGATGTTGGTGTCATGGAAAAGGAATGTCCTGCTTTAGAAATGCTCCCAGCACTGGCGGAACTACTGCGGTTGCAGAGGTCGTAGCTGCGACCCGACCTGTCACTCCAGGGGGCCTGGCCCCCCTGCAGACCCTTTCGATTGGGTGCCTGGCCCGTGCGGTGTAACCGCCGGGGCCGATTGAAAGGGCCCATTGGGGGCCACATGATGGAAATGTATTTCCGGAGGGCCCAGTAAGCGCTGTGGTGCTTTAACAGTGCTACCGGGCCCCCTCTGATAATGTTAGACGTTGGGAGGAAGTGACTCCTCCCAGCAACCACCGGGAGCCACGCGGTAGGAAGGAGAGGAGGGAGTCAGAGTGGAAACTCTGACTCCCATCAGCCTGCTCCACTGAACCCCAAGGAAAATCACCCTCCTGCATCTAGGTAGGAAACAGGAGGGTGACTTAAACATTTTGCATGTGTGTGTTAGTGCATGTGTGTCTGTATGTATGTATATGTGTGTGTCTGTATGTGTGTCTATGTGTCTGTGTGTTTGTATGTCTGTATGTGTGTGTGTGTGTGTGTATGTGTGTGTCTGTATGTGAGTGTGTATGTGTGTGTCTGTATGTATGGGTCTGTGCGTGTGTGTGTCTGTATGTATGGGTCTGTGTGTGTGTGTGTGTGTGTGTGTCTACATGTGTATGTTTCTGCATGTGTATCTGTTTGTCTGCATGTGTGGGGGGGGGGCGGGAACATATGGGGTGGGGGTAGACATGTGGGGGGGCCCCATGGCAATTTTTGCACCAGGGCCCCTTGGTTTATAGTTGCACCACTGGCTCCCAGGCAGGGTCCATCATGCCTGAAAAAAGGCAAGAGCAATGTGGAATAAGGTGAGAGGCGTTTCATTAATGTGACTTCTGCAGATCTCCCAATGTGGTGGTGCATTGTTGGAGATGATTTAATTATCATTTTAATTGCTCCCAAGAAGAATTAAATATATAATTTATCTTCAAGATAGCTTTTAAATGTATTTCTTTATGAGATTTAATGTGGCCAAAATCTACAATAAATGGTTCTATTTAAAGTAACATTACAATTTAATTCTAATATCACAAGGTCTTCCACAAGCAAATATTTATTTTAGAAACATGTAAAATACACAAACAGACAATAGTGTAATAAGAAGTCAATGGTATTGGCAATAATAGATTTTTAGTAGAAATGCAGACTCACATGGCTCTGAGAATGTAAACCAAGTCTCCTGTGGCTAGCATGGTGAAGGAGATGACTTTTGTTGCCAACAGGATGCATTAGGGTTGATTTACTGCCCTATTGTCGATTTTCAGCTGTTAATTAAAAGAAAATGAAGGATGCACAATATTATTTTATTCAAAGGATAGTATATTTTTGTTGCTATATCTGCTGAGACAAGGCAATTGGCAAAAGTAAAACACAAAACCAGTTGTTAAAGCCTTTTACTTATTTTTCTTTTTTATTTGTACACTAAATATTAGACAAGCGCTTACTCATGTTGAAACTGCTGCAGTCATCTCAGAAAATTTTACAATAATAAATGGCTTAGGCCAAACTGAAAACACTGTCTACACTGTTATGCAAATTACTTAACATTGTAAGATATATTTAATGAAACATGTATTAACCCCTTAAGGACACAGCTTCAGAAGCTTGTCTTACCCTTAAGGACACAAGCCATTTTTACATGTTTTGCTGTTTGTGTTCAAACGCAATTTGCATCTCTGTCATTTATTGCACCAACACATATTATATACCGTTTTTCAGAGGGCAAACATGGCTTTAATTTTTTGTCACATATACATAGATACATTCTCATTAATTATAAAAAAATGCCAAAAAAAAAGAAAAAAAAACTAAAAAATATATTTTTTTTTCTCAGTTTTGGCAATAATAGCATGTACATAATATGTCCAGCTTAGAAAAAGTATTTCAAAATAAATTCATTTATGTGTCTTGATTTATAGTGTACATCATATGTATAGGATTTTAGCTTATTTTGAAAGTAACAGGTCACAAAATACAAGGACTAAAATAAAATTTCAAATTGCAAACATTTGAGAAGTTGGTTTGTTTGTCTTGTAGGTTTAGTAGCCATCACAGAAAAAAAAATTGACACAAAAAAGTATATATTTATATAAAGTAGACATCACAGGCTATTTACCTAAGGTTAGTTTGACACTTTTAACGTAGCCATTTCATCGCTAATCTCTGCTAAATATTGGAGTAAAATTATGTTTTTTCTTTATTTTGGCATATACACATATAACAAGGTTTTTGTAATGTGTATTTCGTAAAGCTGGAGTGTGCTATTCCTGCACAGAACCCCATATTGTGTTCAGCTACATCTGCTGAGTATAACGATACCCCCATTGTATGCCTTTGGCACTTTTCTGTGCCATATAAGAGACAAAGCTATTTCAGTTTCTATAGTTAGAATTTTCGTAGATGGATTTGACGGGCTTATTTCTCATTTTAGGGTATTCTATCAGTGTGAGTATTCAAATAACCCCACAAAGGGCTTCCATTTGATAAATCAGACACCCCAGGGTATCTTATATGGTGTATATTGTGCTTTAACTTGTCACAATTTTGTCCACCAATTTATGTCAATGTTTGTGGTGAGGGGGGAAAAAATAAAATCGTCACAGGCCATTTAGGGAAATCATAGGGTCTTCTTCATCTGTTCTATTATTGTGTGCACTGTGCAAGAAGAAGACAGATATGCCCCTTTAGGCATAGACCTCTTTCATTGTTCCCTGACAGCACTGCTTTGCTTAATATTTCCCAGCTTACATGACATCAAATTACAACACATGGGAAAACCAGAAAAAAAGTCACTAGAAATTGCAGAGCAAGCATGTCATTAAATATGCTCAAAGCCGCAGTTCAGCTTTCTTGGACTACATTTTGCTAGTCTGATTTTTGGTTCATCACAATTCACAATTCACTGATTCATGATTAATCCACCAAGGGTTTCAATGTTACATTGTTACAGCAATAAGGGACTTAATAAGATATACTTGTATGGTATATGCCTTCCTATCGTCATTATTATTACTGCTATCTATAGAGTGCATATATTTTCTGCAGTGTGTGCTATTTTCTGGTTTAAGATGGAATGGAAACAATCAGTGTATTGGTATTTATCCGACAGATACAATATATTTCCCTTATACCATACAATGAGGGATTTTGCAATTTTGCCTTTAATTATTTTTTTTTATAGTCCTTTTTTTAAGAGACATAAGAAAATTTTCACATTACATTTTGAATGTATATCACAGCATAGTCTGACCAATGCAATAAAATGAGCAATTACACAGTTTGAAGGCAAAGGTGCACAATTCTGAAGTTTCTTGTTATATAGCTTTTTTTGTTGTTGTTTCCAAACAGTTTTCTGGTATTACAATTCTGAATTCACTGTGCAAACCAACATAAAAAAGATTAAAACAAATGAGGGGTGGGGTAGGAAAAAGGGTAACACCATGATGAGATGCAATATTCTAATCCTGTCTATTTGAAGTCTCATTGTAGACTCGTCCACAATTTGACTTCAGATCTTATAAAATGAAGGAAGGGAGTAATATATGGTGGTGGTCAATTGATCCATGAGATGATTTTGCTCTGACCTCTCTAATTGAGTGGTGGGCCCTTTCAACTAAGTCGCTGCTATTGCCCTCCTTGCCGCTAATGTGATTTTATTAAATAATTTTCAAGCTTATTTTGGAAAGTCCTCAAGGGGTTGGGATAGTTAAAATAGCCATGGATGAAGTCGAAAGGGCCTGTGGAAAATGTCAAACAGGCCCTTTTCCCAAAAGGCAACTATTACTGGAGAGAACCACCACGTGTGAAGGTAGAAACCGTGCTGACTGCATAGTCTCCAACATTCATCCGAGGGGGTCCTTCCCATTTTGTGTAAATTAATTGGAGTGGTATGCCACCTGAATAATATCTTATATATTTGCTCTTAAGACATTACACAAATTGACACATTTCTATACATGCCTTGTACACAAATGTCCTCAAAAAAGGGTAAGGGACTGCTCCATTACTCCCCTAACCGCAGTCTGGTGGGCAAAATCATGTATCTGTACATAGCAGAAAAAGTCTTGACAGCTTAATAAGTGCCTCTCTTTCAAGAATGTGAAGCTAATTATGGCTTAATTGTTCCATATGTGTAAGCAGTGTTGTTTAAGTGCTTCCTCTAAGTTCCTAAAAGCCTGTGGGTACAGTAATGGAACGAGAAGGGAGGGCTGGAATTTAACTGAAATTTGTATCTAATTTTGTCCCACGCCGCAATTTATTTCTTGAGCGTGGTATAATTATGTCTCATTGTATCCATAATAAGGGTCCCAACCTCTGTCCTGGGTAAAGATGAACATTTATTTGTTTCCCATTCTTTGTTAACATGAATCTGCAAATGTGTGACCTTTCTCTGAACATATATTACAAATTTCATTGGCACACAAAAGCATACAATTGGCAATTATGTTACAAAGTCTCTTCTTTCGTAAGATACAATCTCATGGAGTTTTCCAAACAATTTCCTCATTAATTTTTTTTGACTAAAGAAAATGTTTAATAGAGGTGTTTCCAAAAACCCCCAAAA